TCCTGGCAAGCCAAGTCAACGGTGAACAGGTCCTCGTATCGCTTGTACCAGGATTCGAATGTTACCCCGGCCTCGGCGTCGTACAGAAATTCGCTGATGCCGCTAACCACCTGGTCCACTGACTGAGAATTGGCGCTCGGACCTGCATAAAGGGAAGAACTGGAAAGCTTTTCGGTTAGCGCGGACATCAATTTAAGCTGTTGCTGCAGCATCAATTTTAAATCGGCATATTCGTCGGTCATGGTTCACCAACTCTGTCGCCACTGTTATAGCTTGAGGGAACGCCGCCTCTTGAGATAATTGCGTAATTGCCTGATAAGAGGGTCGTTGGCACGCCTACGATAATTGCTTGCTACGCTGACCACTCGAACGGAATTGCGCTGTCCTGATGACGCTGGCTTAGCCGGTGAGACGGAAAATTGAACGAGCGTGGGAACGATCTTAGCCGCACTTGTTCGTATAGACGCTGAAGCCTCGAAAACGGACGCACACCAGAGGGGTTATGATAGACGCGCGCTGATGACTTAGACGCGAGGGCTGGCCAGTTAACGACTCGCACGCAATCACGCGACCCGACCGACTCCCAACTGAGGCGAAGAGAAAGAAAAGACAAGTGGTCCTCTGTAGGCTCTTTTACGACCAACAAAGGGCAATCACGGATAGTGCTATAGGTTATTAAGTTAGGGAAAGCAGTCACCACGCAGAGGTGATAGTTTGCAAATGAGCATTGTCAAAAGGTGTGCAGTTGGGGCCGCGTCTCGGAGTGGCTGAGCTCTGCTGCGTTGTGGGGAGGAATTGGCCCTCGCTTTCCACAGCCATTCTGCTGGGGTTTCTGGCGCGTTTTTGCGGGAATATTTGACGTGCCCGCAACAGGTTCACATCCGCCGAGACTTGGAACCCGAATTCAGAGATCCTTTGAAGACTGCGGTCATTGTGTTCAAACGCCGTACCGAAGAAAGTGAGACTGACTTACAAATTGTAACTTTTCGGGTGTTCGGGAAGGGTGGAGGAACCCGTATCGACCGGTTGCTCAACCTCCGGGCACGTCGCGCGGTACCTCCCAGGACCTCCGTGTGGTATTCGCCAACGTGTGCAGCTTAATGAACAAACGTGACGAATTGTGCCGTTTCGCTGTCTCGGAGCGGCGGACGTTTTAGGACTTGCAGAGACTTGGCTGAATTCCGACGTCATACCCCAAGAAGTCGCGTTGTCAGGATACTCTAGTTTCCGATGCCACCGAGAATCAAAGGCTCACGGTGGTGTTCCGTTGTACATAAAATCGTCACTATCTGGCAAACTTACCAGCACTTATCGGAGTGAGAATAACTTATGCGAGCAATTGTGGTGCACAATCCGCCTCAGACGCGCAGAACTAATAGTGGATGTTATCTACCCTAGGCCAATAAACCGTTGTTGCGATTGGCTACTACATACACCGAAGCACATGAGCCGCCCTCATTTCTTACTAATGGGGATCTAAATTTACCTGAGATTTTCTGGCCAGACGTTCGGCTTCTTCCCGGTCATGGCGACGTTGAGGCTCAATTCGCTAAAATGACTCTTGAAATCGGGGCAAGCCAACATGTCATTCAAGCGACGCGCGTAACCGCACTCGGCATCTTGTCTGGACTTAATGTTTACGAGCTGCGAGCAGAAGCTGCAAGAGATCAGAGTCCTCGAACCTCTGACAAACAGTGACCACTGCTCCATTGTGGCATGCATAGAACTACCGTTACCGTATTATAACCAACGGAGGCCGACATCCAACTTTTGGAAGATGGACATCAACGGGCTCGTCCAAGGCGCAAATCAGACTGATTAAACACTACCACAGGATGCATCGCTTGAGGCCTGTTGGTCATTAATGTAGGGGAAGCTTTACTCAGTGTGTACTCGGTTCGTTCCCCTGAAGTAATCAAAAGTCTGACCTGTCAAACGGAATTGGTTTGATACGGAATATAGACAGTTTGCGCGACGGCGTCGCAGACTTTGGGATAGATACATCAGCTCGGGTTGTGATGAAAATTACACGGTGTACAAGAAACGACGTAACTTACGTAACGCCGCAAAGATCAAGAAACGCCAGCACTTTGAAGAGGGGCTAGCATGCTCGGCCAGAACTGCACCCAAAAGAATATTTTTTTACTTGCGACGTTAACTGAAACCTGGGGCGACCTACCGGTCTTAGAGAGATTGGACGGACAAACGCTCATTTCAAGCGCGGAACGCGCGGACGCCTTGGCTACCCACTTCACCGTATTTTCCAGTAAACCGGCATCTGTTCCAGTACCGGTACAGGTTGTGCCAGTCTTGCTCGACAGCCTACGACTTGATGCAGTCGAAGTGCTTCAACTACTCGTCAACCTCAATGGTGCAAAGCCCTCGGACCAGACGGACTTCATCCACTAATACACAAGTCCCTATCGATTATCATCTCACCAGCCGTGACAAACCTATTCAATAAACCACTCTCTGAAGGATCTGTCCCCAACCACTGGATATGCTCGATAGTGAGACCGCTTCCGAAGGGTGATGATCTGAGTAAAGTAGGAAGCTATGGACCGATCTGTTTGACTTCGAGCTTATCCAAAGTTCTCGAGAAGATTGTGAAAAGTGTCTGCTGTCGTTCTTTGAATCGATGGACGTATTGACGCCAGCGCAACAGGGCTTTACGAAAGGGCGATCCTGAATCACCAACTTGATGTACGCAAACCACCAGTGGGTACGTGCTCTCAACAAACGGAAGGATGTTGACGTGGTGTACATCGACTTTAGTAAGGCGTCTGATAGAGTGAATCACGAGGTACTCCTTCGTAAACTGTGGACCTACGGAATCGGTGGCACATTACTTCAGTGCTTACACGAGCGTATTGTGGGAGGAAAGTTTAGAGTACAGATCAATGACTATCTGACAGAATGGTTTCCATCGACCAGTAGCGTGCCTCAAGGAATTGTAATTGGGCCAGTATTATTTCTCATTCATATCAACCATCTCCCGCAGCAGCTCCAGTCACCATGTGCCCTGTATGCACACGAGTTGAAAATTTGGAGAATCTTTGAGAACCAGGACGACTGCGCTCGCCTCCAGCATGGCTTAGATCGACTATCAACGTGGTCCACTGAAATGCAACTCCCTCTTAACGCAAGCAAGTCGGAGTTCATCAGTATCACCAGACATCCAGCCACTCGATCATACACTTTGGACAGCCAGTTGCTCCACCCTAACACATCTGTCAGAGACTTGGGCGTTCTCTCGCCACATGATATGAGATCAATAGAATATACAGAGATATTGTACCGTGCGGGACTTCTTATGCTCTGAGCATTACGACAAAATTCCTCCACATGGTCCGAAGGAACCGTACCTTGCCTATTCACCACGCTCATTGGACCAATGCTTGAATACGGCGCCCCAGCTTACGATCCGATAACCCAGTGGGAAACTGAAAAGCTGGAGAAAATACAGCATATCGCAACTAGAATAATACCCAGTCTACGGAAGCTTCCGTAGGAAAAACCTTGTGAAAGGCTCGGACTCTATACACTATCCTACCACCGAGTAAGAATTGATTTTATTATGACCCATCGAGTACTACACTTAAATCACTTCCCCATACTGCAGCCAATGTTTCACCTGCTAGAACCCTTAACACCCGAGGACACCGTTACAAACTCAGGGTCCGCTGCATGAACAAGATCTCACAGCATCTTTGTATAGAACGAATAATCGTAAACTTATGGAATCCACTACTAGCAGGACTAATAGAGGCCAATTCTGTGAAGTGTTTTAAAACACCTATCGACGGTTATTTCGAAAAGCTGTGCCGTTGTGATACGCTGAACATACAATGGAAAAAATGCATCCTAAACCCGGAAATAATGACACCAATACGAATTCCTAACCGAAAAAGGATAAACGGTTAACTGCTCAAACACTACCGCTGACGAATCACAATCAAATGCTTTTGATTTTTTATAGTTCGATAGTTGTATAGAAACCTTTCTACTTGCTCTTAAATACAGTCACAGTCTCAGTCTAACGTCTTCATGCGTTTCCTGTTGCTACTGGATGCTTTTTCCATCACCTAGTCATCCAGGAAATAGATCAACTTTGCTCTACGTTAAAGCAACTTTCTATCCTTTTTGAGTATTTTCACCAATACTTTGTAGTCTGTGTGCAATTCTCCCGACCCACATACACCTTCACTTCATGGCCCCACAGTAGCTTACACTACGGCATGTGCTTTGTGCGCACATTTCTCCTGCAATCAATACTTCTGGTTGGGTTTGCCTACGATCTGTGTTCGATTATCCCCGACCCTGCTCCACGGAGTGTCCTTGATTGATTGATGCGGTCACACACACGCACACGCACACACACAGATGCGCATCACCTACTCTTGAAAAGGATGGTCATTAATTGCACCGATCATGTCTGTCGTATTCAATCAGGAGTTTGAGTGTCTGTCTACCCATCGACTTATTGACTCTAAGTCAACCTGTTCAACCTCGATCACTTGCATTTCGGACGGTCAATGACGTTGAGGATTTCATATGCACTGACTGACCGAGCGCTAATCCGGCCTAGGTTGTTGTCGTCCTATGGACACAAACGATTGAGGTTAATTTTTGTGTCATTAGTGTCTTGTAAATGTCATCATAAAGCTTGGATCCACTGTGTTTTAACTCGGTTGGAATCGTTTCTGCGCGTGGCTAGACAACTGTGTTTTGGTACTTACCGCACCGTTGCATTTATCCATTTAGTCACAAACCTGATTTGCCGTCGTGGATGCGAGTTATGGTTTTTCGGCAATGAGTATTCGTTGCTGTGGTTGTTGATGAGAAAAGCGCTAATAAGCTAAGTTCTTTGACTTTCGTCGTGAGTGAATCAGGTAAGATGTTCCCACTTCCCGTGATCAATTCTTCGTAGTGTTTAGTGCAGCAGCTTCCAGGATCAACCTCCTGACAAGTGGTCACCATGCCGTTTTTCCTTACTACAGCTCGAATTCAATCTCATTCCATACCGTGACAGTGGCACAGTGATCTTGTCGTCGGTAGATGACATACAGCTACTTCTGGATGATCACATAGTGAAAGCCCAAACAATGAGAGGATCGCCATTCATCAAACCGTTTGAAACCGATATCCGGTGAGTTCAGAGGATTTCAGCGCTTTCCTTGATGTTGCAATTAATCTCATTTTATGCGGCATCATCGTACAGTTCGATTGTACGCATAGTGCATGAACCCGCAACCCGTTTAAAAGGTAGGGGCGCGTATGGGACTCGTTAACCCGTACTGTGCCACTTGCATCAAACGACTAGTAGATAAGAGGCACGAACCAATCAGAACCAAAATCAGTTTTCGCTTTTGATTGATGTGGCCACACCGCAATCTACACCTACGCCTGAAGCTGCATTGCGTGCGTTATGTGACACGTTGCACGTACACTCGTGAGCCATACTCACGGGCTGTGTTCGCAACGTGAGATCACGTGAACGCCTTGTCACCAAACTTTCGGTCCAACTGCGGCACAGCCTCGAGCGTGAGCGTTGCAAACATTTAGGGAAGATGCAACCGATTGAGATGGTATAGTCATGCGGCATTGCGCTTCGGCACCGAATGATTAGGTAACATACAGCATGCGTCAACTTAAGGCCACCCTAGTACGCATACACAGGGAATTACATTAGTTATCATCCCAATACATTATCAGCAAATCCGTTGGTGAGGACCACATGCCGGAAGTTTAAATGACTAATTCTTCGGATAACCGGCGGATCACTTGGCACACATCTTTGGGACAAGGTCCTCCACACATCATGGGTGATATGCGGTCAGTTGAACACGATATAGACTGAATTTAGCCTAACAGCGCCCACATCTTTCAGCCAACTGTTCTGGCAGTTGAACTTCCATGGTCCCACATCGCTCGAACGTGCTCAGTGTGGTAACAAATTACCGGGCCAGGTGAGAGTTGTTCCACTGGACTGGCGCTGGATATTAGAGTACCGTTGCTTGGGGAACAGTGCCGATGGTAGTCAGATCTGTTTCCGTTCACTACTCCACTTAAGTGGAGCATGGACCGATTCCCTAAGTTTTGATTTTTGAACCTTTTTGGTCATATCTGCAACGGAGCGTTGTAGCGTTGGCGTATGCACCTGGAATAACGCCGCGGTACACACAAATAAAATTCAAGTACCACACTCACCTCGGTGATTGTCATCCCGTGACGTAACACTTGTCATAGTGTAGTATTTCATATGGTAGCCGTTCATTCGCCGACTGACTAATCTCTGCTCTAATGTTTTGTTTGTTGAATACAGCGACTGGGAGAGCAAACTTCTCCTCACGCAGGATATCTTAGATGAGTGGATGAAGGTACAGGCTACGTGGCTGTATTTGGAGCCCATTTTCAGCTCACCCGATATCATGGCCCAGATGCCGGACGAAAGTAGAAAATTTACCACCGTGGACAAGACGTGGAAGGAGCTGATGAAACAGGCTACAGTGGATAAGCATGTGATGGCCGTCATCACTATTGATAAGATGCTGGACAAATTTAAGAAGTCCAATGACTTGTTAGAAGCCATATTGAAGGGGTTGAATGCCTATTTGGAGAAGAAGCGACTCTTTTTCCCAAGATTCTTCTTCTTATCGAATGATGAACTGTTGGAAATTCTTTCCGAGACTAAGGATCCAACCCGTGTGCAACCTCACCTAAAGAAGTGCTTCGAAGGCATCGCCTCACTGGAATTTACGAAAAATCTGGATATTACACATATGAAAAGCAGTGAAAATGAAATTGTTCAACTGAAAGATGTTATTTCAACCTCAAAAGCCAGAGGGGCAGTGGAGAAGTGGCTACTGGAACTGGAAGAGGACATGACTGCTTCGGTACATTTGACCATTTGCATGGCGCTAGAAGACTATTTACACTCAGCGCGTAAGGACTGGGTTAAAATGTGGTGCGGGCAGGCAGTACTGGCTGGCTCCATGTATTTTTGGACTATGGAAGTTGAATCAGCCCTAGCTGCGGGATATGACGCAATGCAGGACTATTTGAAGGTATGTTTCATTGCATCATCTCTTCACTGTCACCGTATGGTTAGATCATATTTAGCAAACCCCGGATGACCTGGGGCCGTTTGAATTGTGAGCCTTAAATCGTCCTTCATGACGGCGTGGTCTGCTGTCATAAGAAATTGTCAATACCAAAGTTATTGCAAGGGCAGATAAATTGTGTGGAGGTTAAAAACGCATGTAGCCACATCCATAGCGTTCAAACGAAGCACCCAGACATTTGCCTTCGTTTCACCATGTAAAAACCAAACTGGCGTATACCAAATGTTCTATGTTCATAGTGCTTGATTAGTTCATTTTCCGGGTAGTCAGCCACTTTAGCAAGTGTCTCTGATGGTGTGAAGTGAACGGACCGTTTCTACTTTGTTAATCGGCGTCGAGATGGATGCAATGGTACCTGTAAGCTAACAAATTACCTCAATTATCTTTAAAACCCATGACTATTACCCACTCGACGCAACCCCGAGATGAAGCCTCGGTTTGACTTGTGCGATCCTCCTTATTGTTTGACCCATGGCCCAGTGACTGTCACCGCACAGTGCGGCTCACTGTCTGTCTCACAGTAAAAATTCTGCAATGTATGAAATGGTTATGATACCTGTGAATTACTCAAAGTACATTCAATTCTTGGAAGTATTTCGGTGTTACTCCTCCCAATGCAGACACACCACGACCGCGGTTTTATCCTGGTTTGGACTCATCAGGTGGAGATAACCTGAGCTGGGGTGAAGCTCAGGGCCTAGTGGTTCATGGCTGACGTACTGATAACTACTGAGATCCGCTCAGCAGTGTTACAATGTGCAAGGCAATAATCACCACCGTCGCCAGCACCATCCTCATGACCCTCATTGTTGTCGTCATACACACCACACTTGTCGGTTTTAGAACCATTCATGCGGCAAGCGTGAGGTGGCACATGTGACCCGATCCGTGGTAATGATATCGTCATTGGACAATGTAACTATTGTGGATTGAAAGCATGTGCGGCATACCGCAGCGCAGGCCTGTTTTACCCTTTTGTGTTTGCGACTCATCCGAATCTTGGTCCGACAGTAGTTGTTCGTTTATACTTAATTACTGCAATGAGTTTCCAATAAGCGCTCAATGTCCCAGAAATTCTGTCAGCGGCGCTAGTTTTGTACTTCTTTTGTGCGTCACGTCGTAGATAATCGAAGCCTGTAAAACGCACATCTCGCTTTGGCACATCTTTTGAGTTCACTATCCCAAATTGTGTGATAAACTTATTTCACCCAGTGCACAATGGAGGTGCCTTCAGCCATCGTGCTCCGCTGTCCAGCTTTTGTGAAGAAATGGGCACCTACGTGACCAGTGCCTCCCGTCTCGCTCAAAGCGATGCTGGAGGTGTCACGGATACAGAGTTTTACTGCAAATTATGATGATGAGTTGGTCAAGGTATCGTTAACTTCACACCGTTCGACTAAAAACCGATAAAGTGGTTAGTTAATGTTCACTTTCTTTGTCTGGGTTTGGAGTACCTGTCATGCGTTCGGATTGCGACACGCAACCTCAATCCAGAATTGCGGTTCCCTTGAAAGAAACATCGGTTCTTGCCATATCTACCTGCAGAGTCCAAACGATAACAAAACCGGTAGTGAAACGCAGTCTTGGCAGCGAGGAACACCGGGACCCTCCATCTTTTTATCGTTAGGGCTGTAACGACCGAATTAGGCATAGAAACGATTCCAAAGCATTCAAAACACCAGTTAAGTCCAAAGTCGACGGTGCCGTTCACTATATCATTTTTCAGTTATTTGCATCCCTAACGCAATCGCTTTCATCCCTAGTGCAGCAGCTTACATCCTTAGACCAAAAAACCATAATCCGATAGTCACGAAAATTGCATCCACGACGTCCTAAGTGGTCAACTCCTATAGCATTCGGACAATCTGCTGACATGGCTCTTTAACCTAGACACATCTGCGCCATTGAGCCATCCGTTGAGGCCTTGGTACACAGATCTCAGCCATCCGCTCGTCTGGGTGCACACCAGCATTGGACAATAAGGGGGTAGAAGCAGGGGCTTGCTCACGAACTGTCTCCAAACTCCAAAGCCTGGAGTGTGAAGGTAAGGCGAAGTCAGCGCAGCTCCAGATGAACATATACGTGGCAGTGACTTGGTATGCAATATGTGACCACATTGTTCACTCTAGCCACTCGTGCCTCACCTGTTCCCTCACCTTAGACGGCCATCTCGTTTGCTCCCTCAAGGTCTAGTTGTGAGACGGTTTTGACTCCCGCTCAAGTCAGGGGGCGGACTCCATGTTCACTGCTACATCTGCGTTGTCTCAAACTGTGCTGACTTCCTGTTACCTTCACATCCCAGGCTTTGGGGTTGGAACCAACTCAGGAACAAGCACCTGCTTCCATCTCCCTTGTTGTCCAATGCTGGTGAGCACCTACACAAGCGGATGGCTGAGGTCCGTGTAGCAAGACATCAACCGCCGATGGTTCCAGGTTGACCACACGCGTGGCTACTACGTTGCGTTGGTCTTGCTGCAGTGTTGTCACTTTTGCCACCCCCCTCCAAAGCGCGATGGCTATTTGCCCCAGCTGCGACTAGTTTAAAGTGCCATGCCGCATATTATTTGAATTCTATTGGCTGCTAGGCATTAACCACTCAGGGCGTCGTGGATGCATTTTTCGTTTTACAGAAGAGTAGTAGGGAGAGTTGAATGTTATAGGAGGAAATTCATCACATCTAGGCTCACTCAGACAGCTGTCACACGCCCGGAAAAGCACTGTACGCGCGTTTCATCCTTTCGGGAATCGTCGGCAGTGCGCATTCCATCGGGCCCTGGTTGGGCTCGAACTCGCAACTCGACTCTTGCCAGTCAGTGGTTGAGACCACTGAGCTACGGGGGACGGCAACGACCATCGTGAATAAGTTACTAGATGTAATATAGCGCCACTCACTATCCACTGACTTACACGTTTTGTTTTTGCACTAATGGACGCAAGCTGCTACACTCCGGCAGTCGGTGCCGGATTAGTGCTTATCTCGTCAACACATGCGGGACCACTGACGTCGCGAGCCGTCAAAAATGCTAGTGGCCAGATGTGAACAAGTTGGTCTCGAGCTGGTCGATCGCTGAGTAGGCAGACGCTCATGCTGCTGTTTGGTGGATGGGATACGACAGGTACAAGCTGTGCAAATGTGTATCACATGTGTCAAGCGGTGGACAAGTGGGGAGAGCGTAACGACAAAACGGTCAGGGGTACTCCGAGAACGTGCATTTCGCAGCAGTGGTGCAATGGACTGTGTAACATGCAGACACGCACGTACAGAAAGCATGCTGTAGTGTCGGTCCTCTGAATCACCGCAAAGCGCAAGAGGTGCTTGTAGGTTAGAACTTCACACATATTGCAGGGCTTGGTTATACGGGCGAATGGAGGGCATGCTTCGTTCAGCTCCAGTTTGCAGTGTTCTATTAAGAAAAACGAAGTCTTGTTGGCATTCACTGACACACCGAGCGATCGCTTCCTTCGGTCAGCTGCTAATGTACATAGTGGCAAACTACTCAATTCGTTGCATCGTTCCCCCAATGGTTTGCATCGGTCACGCTCGAAGCTGCATCATGTGCGTCATGTAACACGTTGCACTTGTATGAGCCATACTCATGGGCTCTGTTCGCGACGTGAGATCACCTGATCGCGTTGCCACCGCCTGCATTGGAACGGCGATCAACGTAGCGAGGAATTTAACTCCATAGACACGCCGAGTGTAACCGTGCAGTTAGTGCAACAGCTTGCTCTGCTCCGAATGTCACGAAAGGCATTCCTTCGTGGCACTGGGCGGATATGAAGAATATAAGTTGACTTGAAGAGGGACGGGACTAGAAGCATATTGCACATACTGAACGTAAACATGATTAACTGCCGCACGAACGTTAGCCGTAAGGTTCCGCAGGCGCGTGGTCAGACTTCATGGCAATGCGTATATTGAGAAACATTCAGATTTCTCACCACTAGCACCATTGCAGTTGCCGTCCCGACTCTTTTGAACTATAAGGATACCCCATGGTTGTCTCGCAACGCCACACCGGAAGCATGCGCAAACTGCGTGCCCCAAAATTTCATCTGAATGTCGGACCTATGAACAGGCGGTACATAAAAGTGATGACACCTTTTCAAATTATATACATTTATGTCAGTAAAAAAAGGATTTACAAACCCATGCAATGCACAGCACTAGCGTAATTCCTTCTTACACGATCGATCATTTAGTGGCAGTGCTGGGGCGTAACACAAGTTTGTGCCTCGGACACAATTCGCTCCAAGAAGCGCATTCTCCACTCGCTCTTGCATAGTACACCCTCAGGATCTCCCTGAAGCATCTCGGAATATTGCCTCCTCATGGCTTGCTTCACAAACGCTTTTATTATGCTCCAGATTCCCTCAATGGGATTCAGTGATGGAGAATATGGCGCCAGACGCAGGAGGCTGCCCGAACGGTACGATTCCTCCTGGAATACGCGTTACAACTTCATCTGGCATGGCGCATAATCACAGATCAGGAGGCAGCTTTCGATAAAAGCCGAGCCTCTGGCAGCCAGCAGTCGACGCAATCACGCCGCGCACCTTTCCTTATTGAAGCTTCCTCTCATGATGATATAGTCTATTAATCCATCGCTCATAAACGCTCCAATCAGTTGCAGGGTTTAGCCTAGACTGTTGAGCACTGTACATTGCGCAGGAGTTCCACGCGGTAACCGCCCCACGGTGCGAAAACAAAAGAGATTGAAATTGGTTTCATTTATCTACACGGCTTGTCTCCCTTCGGCATCAGATTGTAGCAGTTTCAAAACGTAGGTTTTTCTCTGCATTTTGTGTGTTGGCTAATTCCGGAACTACTCGCAACTCCATCATAATTAGCCGTCTATCTAAGTATCGTGCAAGTGTGCTCACGCTTAACTCGGTTAAACTTCGCTTTCAACCGCAGACGTAGTGTTTGTAGTGACCGTGAGTTCTTTCGACACCCATTCTACCAAGCAATCAATCTGGCTGTCTGTCAGAGACCTTCGGCGTCCTCCAACACGCTTTTCTGTTTGTCCGGTTGATTCCAACCCTTTTTATCCAACTGCGACAGGTAATCAGGTTTACGTTCAGTATGTGGGCGACATGCTTCCAGTTGCGTCCCTCCATGTCTTTTTATATTCTTCACATCCGCCCAGTGCCGCGTACGAGCGCCTTTTTGTGACATTCGGAGTAGAGCAAGCTGTTGCACTAACTGCGTGGTTACGCTTGGTTTACCTATGGAGTTAACCATCGCTACGTGCAGCCGGTGGTAACGCGATCACATGATCTCACGTCGCGATCACAGTCCATGAGTATGGCTCGTACGGGTGCGCACGTGCAACGTGTCACATGACGCACGTGATGCAGCTTCGAGCGTGACCGATGCAAACCATTGGGGGAACGATGCAAACCATTGGGGGAACGACGCAACCAATTGAGAAGTGGTATAGTGTCCGTTGGTATAGTTCTTCCCTACAGCCTCAGTCTCGGCCCTTAACGGTTGATGCGGTTCAGACCGCCGCAAAATAATAGTATGTATCGAATAATGTGATGCTGGGTTCTACTTTTGCTTTGCCGCGGTAGAATTAGGACAAGTGTTGGTCATGTATCGCGTTGCCTTGCTGGCTCTAGCACTGTTTAATTCGGTGTTGTTTATCTCAGTTGAACAACCAGCAAATCGAAGAGATCGTCGGTATGGTCAGAGGGAAGTTGTCCAAGCAAAATCGCACCACGCTGCAAGCTTTGATTGTGCTCGATGTGCATGCGCGTGACGTGCTGGCCGAACTCATACAACTACAGTGTCATTCGAACACGGAATTCTCTTGGCTGAGCCAACTACGATACTACTGGGAGGAAAAAAAGTTGGTCACACGTATGATTAATTCCCAGCTAAGGTAAGCGAATGCAAGTTTGATCATCCACTTTATCACACGGCTGCACTGCCTGTATTCGCGTTGGTGATTATGGGTCAAATAGCTACCATGTGTCCAGGGAGTGTTGTGGACGTTCATGTTGTTTCAATTCTTTTATTCGGAATGGACGAAACGTGTTTCACTGATATCCCACACGTGGAGTAGCCGGTTGAATTAGAGTCAACGCAGCCTAGAAGACCTAGCATCAAGACATGGGTGCACGCTAGCTGAGGATTGGAGACGGAACATGTAGCCATGAACGACTGCACTCAAAACCCAGAAAAATATACCGGATAGAAAAAGTTCGTTTACTAACAGTCAACAGTGAACCTGCCCTCTGCACATTCATATTTATAACCTAATCTCATAGAAGTTTAAAACATAAACTATGGTGGACGTGAATGTCAGCCGGCACCTAAGTTGCCACGTAGTGGTAGTGTCCTGGGGAAAACCCCTTTGGGGTCAGTGTGGTTTGGGATGGTAGGTAACGCAGTGTCACTGGCGAGGGTTTAGGTAGACTTTGTGGTTTGCGTTTACACATAACTGTGGTTTTAGTTAAAAGACAGCTGTTACCTGCGCTGTTTGGTCCACTGCATGGTGACAGTGTTCCTGAGTCTGCTAGCGAGGCCAGCTCAAACAATCTCTGCGCAAGCTTGCCGGAAAGGTACCAACTCCGCAACAGATGAATCGCTCTGGAAACAGCCCAATATTCATTCACAGAATCTCAGAAAATACCTGTCTGATTACGTTTATGCTGGTGGATGTACCTTCACAGCCTCCAGCGATGTTGCTTAACAGCCAACGTATGTACGCACCATTGAACCCACAGGATGGCACACACGCACGCGACAGCACTCATGTGTGATGCGACAACAAGGTAGATTGGATGGCTTCACTTCAAAGACTGTCTGTGTGTCATGGTTAGTGTGTGGCAAATTATGGACTACCGACGGTTTCTTTGGGTAAAGGTATTGGTAAGCTCCTGATTAAGATTACGAAAAGAAACTAACAGATCCGACGAAATATGGCTGTACACTCGATAGGAATTCGACTGCAGCAGCACCTAGTTCAACCCATTTCATCACCAAGACGTCGAAGCGAACACCATGAACGCACATGCATTTATTACCGTATTTTATTTTGACTTAACATTATGTTTCCATCCCATCCCAGCTACGGCTATGAGTATTTGGGAAACACTGGACGGTTGGTTATTACTCCTCTGACCGATCGATGCTACCGCACGTTATTCGGAGCGCTGCACCTGCATCTTGGCGGTGCACCAGAAGGGCCTGCTGGCACAGGAAAGACAGAGACAACCAAAGATTTGGCAAAAGCTGTTGCGAAGCAGTGCGTGGTGTTTAATTGCTCCGATGGCTTGGATTACATTGCTTTGGGCAAATTCTTTAAGGCAAGTTTCGCATCATGGCTTACCGCATCAATATTCACTGCATAATTGGAAATAACCCATCCACCTTTAACCGTTATACGTTTTTGTCATTTGGCGTTGTGCGCGGTGGAGGTGTCACCCTTCATCCTATTTGGTCAAGGTGATGTGAAAGATCTATCACAGTGTCTTTGATGAAGGTTTGGTATGTTACATTAGATTAATAAACCCCAGTTGTTTAGGAAACTCGCACACATGATACCATCGCAGAACACTTCAGATTTCGTTCCATGGCTTTCACTACTTCAGTTTAGCGCCAGGATACAGCGATATATATTCACAGTTTGTTAACAGACATTGTGCCATCAGAACCATGGCAGAAGAAAAACATGAAAAAGATGGAAACACGAAGTGCGATAAAATGGATACAGCGAACGGTCCGATGTGTTGTCCGACATCTTTTATTGACCCCGAACAGATTTAACCAAATACACTTTGCTAGATAGATATGCCGGCCACGCAAAACGAAAAGACTGGACTCACCCATTTCGACGAAAAGCCGAAAGCAACGGATGTTCCTTGAGATATGCCGAAGTATAATGGTAGCCTATATTTCGTTGCTAAAATCGCAATACTCCCCTGTCCTCTGGTCCTTGCCACCTCCATTGATGTTGCCTACTACGGTGTTCTATACGTATTATAAATTTCGGTCAAATTGTTGATTGGACAAACGTGCCAACATGCCTTTATGACAGGGGTTAGCCTCATGTGGTGCGTGGTCTTGTTTCGACGAATTCAATCGAATTGACCTGGAGGTGTTGTCCGTGGTGGCTCAGCAAATACTGACTATTCAACGTGCGGTCAATGCGAAACAAGCTCGATTGGTGTTCGAGGGGACCGACATCAAACTGGACCCAACGTGTGCCGTGTTCATCACAATGAATCCAGGTTATGCCGGTCGGTCAGAACTGCCAGACAATTTGAAGGTGAGCGTCAGTGTGTTAACTGTCAAGATCTGAACCGATTTCTCGATGTACCAGTTTAGGAAACTCCTGCTTGACTCTTGGATGAAAACATATCGTTCAAATTTAGTTTGAGAAAAACGCAGCATGATCATGTACCTGAGAGCGCCGGCCGAGTCATAATCCGGTTCTTGTGATACTACAACAATGGTGATTAGTATGTTACTTATTATTTATTTACTTACTTACTTACTTATTATTTAGTCTGTATCTGTGTGGCTGTTACACATCCATACACATCTTGACGAATGCTACGATTCACCGCCTTGATTCATTATGGGACCTCAGTGTAATGGACTCGTTTGCTCTATTATTTGATTCTTCCTTTTAATGGAGCCTCTGTATTGTCCACCTTACTCCACAGGCCTTGTTTCGTGCAGTCGCCATGATGGTACCCGACTACGCCATGATCGCGGAGATCTCACTTTACTCCTGCGGATTTGTGAACGCCCGTCCTCTTGCGGTGAAAATTGTTGCAACTTATCGGTTGTGCTCCGAACAGTTGTCCAGCCAAGCGCATTATGACTATGGTATGCGTGCGGTGAAATCCGTCCTAACCGCTGCCGGTAACCTCAAGGTAAGCCAATTTGTAATTCACTTTGTGATCAACCAGACCTGTCTGATGACCTCATGTTTCCTAAAATATCTGCAACCTTCTTGCATTTCACCCGTATGGACAGAAATAATCATTCAACGCATGACGATGGACATCACACATGGTTTGAGATAATAACACAGTTCAACACCATTTTCCTGACAGAAATGTGCTATGGTGTTGCTAGTAGTACCAACTGAGCTAATTACAGATATGCAAATCAATGGTTTCTATCACGTCGGGTTTTTGTTTACTTTCAGTTTTTCATTCCAACTAACCAGTGTGTTCCATACATCGAATGCTCGCCTATGATTAGTCCGTCGGGTCCCTGTGACCGTATAAAAGTAGTGATCTTACGCATGGTACCCATCTGATACTCGACGGTCGAATGGCCGCTTGTCCTTCTCGTTCACTTGCATAGGTGTCGCTGGCTACTCTATTGGAGCGTTAACCCGAATCGCGGTGAACGCTCACCAGCGCTGACTTTATCCACACATGCCATACACTGTCAGGGAATTCCCGTTAGACCACCCCTTACATATAGCCTAGCCAGGTCAAATTTACAGCGGTAGGGTAGTCCTCGGGGCCGCTACGACGGTTCGATAGTCAGCTGTTGTATCGAAAAAACCCGGCTGTAGCGGAAATATACTGCAAGACGCAACGCAGAACATTCTAACCGCTCAGAAAGTGACGGGATTCAGATTAAGTCAGCCAACCGATCAATCAGCATTGAGCGAAGTTCAGCCGATCACGATAAGCCCAGTGAAGTGTTCGTCCCTCGCCTGAATAGACATCATCATCATTCATCATTATGCACATCAGCTAGAGGTGGGAAAACACCTCCGCTATTGTGCCGCAATATATGAAAGAAATACATGGTTGGCGGCATCCAGTTTCGGATTTGCCTGTCACTGTGGCAAGCCACAGGACGCTTGCGCCTACAAAGGGACCATAGGTGGCTTGCGCTGCACCACCCACAGCTCCAACCACACACCCCATATCCCGTGTAAACCCGAAGGAATAAGACCGGGAGGCATGTGAATGGCAGCCACGTTTCATCAACGGAGCCGGCCCACACTCCTTCAGAAGCCAAAACAAGCACGCTGTATTTGGGGAATCAAGTGCACACAAGGCGGTGGCTGGACCGTAGTCCGCTCCACACTGAGTGCATGGAACCGCTCTTTGAGCCTATCACGGCCACAAGGACCGTGCACCCCGTCCCCTCCAGCAACGACCAACTGTCTCCTGGAGCCAGTATGAACGAGGTAGTGGGTAATAGACAGGTAAGCACCTTGTCAACATGCACATCAAGCGCAGCCACACCGGGGATATCAAACAACAGCCATTCACTTTAAACGACAAGCTGAAATAAAATATATTCAATAATGCATACGGATACGGTGGCATAACTCTAAGCTAAATAAGCATATGAACTAAGTTGGTTAGCAACGAATCCGCGATAAGTAAGAAATGTCCACAGATTACTTAAAAATGCTACAAACGCAACAAAATTACCGAAGATAAGCGCAATTTATGTGAGCAACGTGGCCAGTTAATAGAACATTATTCAGGTAAGCAGAACGAACCAAATAAAGTGGAATGAAATTTATCCAGCTTAAAAAGAGACCTAGTTTAAGTGTAAGTTGGTTTAGCCCAACTGCGGTGAAGAAGCATCCAGAATGCAACATCAGCCTCAGCATGGGGCACGAAAGAAAGAAATACATACATATAATACAATACATAAAGGAAAAATAGATACAACAATTGCATGCCAGCTGAGCTACCAGCAACGGCTAGACATCGTTCCGCTAAGCTACCAGCCAGCTACTAGGCAAAAAGAAAAATTATTAGGTTCTACGCTATGAAATGATCTCGTAGGTGGAGCGGGACGCTAAAGTGCATGGGAGGGACGAAGAAACACACAGCAGGAACGCCACTGAGGTCGGCTCCTTGCCATGTCAGCAAGTATATCCAGCCAAACGTGTTCACCGTCTTTTGGACCCCAAACAGGGAGCCGTGAAGCTCCAACCGAGGCCAGCTCAGAAGTGATGAACTTCATTCCTCTGGACCAAGTCATCGCTTGGCCACCTCTCCTCTTCTTCCACCCACATCCCCCGTGAGCAAACAACGCACGTCGTGGAAGTCGGTGGGCTGGCATGCGTAACACGTGGCCCAGCCATCGGAGGCCGGTGCGTGAAATAACGGTGCTGAGCGGTTCAGATCCTTTTCCTGGGCCGTAAACAAGTAGTCGAACACGCTCGTTGCTCACGCGGTGTTCCCACCATATGTGAGCCAAACTGCGAAGGCACCGATGGTCGAAAGTAACTAGCCTCTTCATGTCCGCCGACCTTAGGGGCCAGGTTTCGCAACCGTACAGTAAGCTCGAACGTACCGCTGCATTGCTTCAGGGCGAGAGTGATGTCGCGTCGCCGCCATAGGTGGCGAAGGTTAGCAAAAGCACTTCGAGCTTTCGCTATACGGTTCGTGATCTCGTCTTCGATCCCAAGGGCGCAGATACAACTTCCCAGGTAATTGAATTTCTGAACGACTTCTAGCAGATCCCCACCAAGGGTCAGGGCAGGAGGCGATCCCTGCCAATCTTGGAGGAATGCTTTGCATTTCGATGGTGCAAAGCAAAGCCCGAAGCGGCTGACAGCCAGTGCTAATCTGTCCAGCGCGGCTTGGCACATCTGGGAGCTGTCACAGATGAGGGCAATGTCGTCTGCATACTCCAAGTCAAGAAGTCGTTCTCCTGGGAGTAGCTCCACACCTTCTAAGTCATGTCCTGTAAATGCAAACTCCATGACTTCGTCAGTAGCGAAGTTGAAGAGGAAAGGTGACAGCGGGCATCCTTGTTTCACACCGCTGGAGATATTAAAGGGTGGCGACAGCTTGCCGTAAGCCCTCACTCTGCCCGTGCTACGCGCATATAATGCTGGGATAATATTTACATATTTCTCGGGCACACCATTCCTGAGTAAACAATTCCAAAAGGCACATCGATCAACCGAATTGAAGGCACCTTTGATGTCGAGGAACACGACTATGGTGGGCCGCCGATATGTGTGACGGTGGTCCAACAACTGACGCAAGGTGAAGATGTGGTCGATGCAGCTACGACCCCGACGAAACCCGGGCCATCGCAATGAGGCTGGACCTTACCGTGGTGCGATGGTTTGTGTGCCTCAGCGATCCATTGACCTATGCTGGGTGGTGCGTTTGCACCTTCAGAGTCACTCATACCAGATTGGTCAATGCTTAGAGGCCAGACAAACTCAGCCTCCTGGTCCTCCAGCTTGGGGGTTGGTATGAGGGTGGCACCTTATTCCCTAAAACGGACTCCTTGTAGTCCAACGCCAAACCCGCTGCCTTGCGGTCAGGTTTTTGAACCAAAGGCTTTGGTTGAGAACTCTAATCGTTCTCTTGTCTAGGCCTGAGCAACCTGACAGTATCCTGCCCACGCAATACCATGAATATTATCTCAAATTGCCTGAATAGACGCTTGATTCCCAATCAAACTCGAAGTCGCTGGCCCCCCACAGGACAGAGCGAAGGCCGGATCGGACGAGCAGAGCAACTGTGATGTATTAGCAAATCACACCGTTCATTATAAAGATGAAATGGAAAGTTCGTGAATGGTATTTAAAGCGAACGTGGGAAGCTCTGGAAGGGTCAACTTACAGCTAATAAAGGAACACCACCCTCGCGTTAATTGGCCGCTTCTCCCGGTTGGCTCTCTGTTCGCCCCAATCAGGGCGGATGAGTTTGGATTCCCTGCTGCGGCGATGGGGTCCTGGCTAGTTCGTATCTCGTATTCCTTCCTAACACTTTCCCCCCTGTGAGTTGTGTTGTACGATTTCAGCTTGGGGTTGACTTGCATGGGTGACACGAATTTGCGTCGCCGCTTCGGCCTCTGTGCTGTTTGGTTTCGAGACGAATGGTGTGGTTGCTGTGTTGAGGATGTTGGCGAGTCTTCGCTTCACCCGCGTCGGCCAGTATGTCCAGAGGTAACTGCGCTGTTGGTACTTGTTGTTGCAGTTGTTCGCCAGTCCCTGCCTCTAGCAGCTGATTGGCATGTCTTACCCAAATTGCCATCCCAACCTGGATACTGTAGATCATGTTACCACGTTTGTATAGCACACGACCGATAGCCCATTTAGGATAGTGGATGCGATACTCTCTCGCCAGAACTTGTTGACCAACATTAAAAGTTCGCTTCCGAGCACCATGTTGGATGTTGAATTGACGCTCCATCTGATAGTTGCGGGACAGTAACTAATCCTTCCTAGGTCTGAGGGCATCATGCGGCACACGGATTTTCCTTTGAAACAATGTTTCACCTGGAGATAATGCTTTCGGTGTCTGCGGATTCGGAGTTGTGCGATACGTCAGCAGAAATGTGTCAAGAATCTCCTCCAAGGTACCTTCCCCCTTCATTTTAGCAAAGCTCTTTTGTGTGTATCCACAAAGCGTTCCGCTTGCCTGTTCGATTGTGGGTGGAAAGGTGGAGACCTTACATGGGCGATCGCGTTTCTGCGACAGAAGACAATAAATTCAGATGAGGTGAATTGTGTACCATTGTCCGAAACCAACGTGTGGGGAACACCGAAACGAGAAAATATCTGTCGGAGAGCGGAGACAGTGGCTACTGCGATGGGAGGGCGCTTAAACGATTTTCGGTCAACTGTTATAATGGTTGTCAACAATATCAATCTGTTGTGACGCTGCCCCTTGCCTCTGCCTCTGCGCTACCAACCAGCCGGGGAAAACAAAACGCAGAGCCTGCTAGACCGAAGTATATTAGGTGCAGAACATGGCTATTTTTATAGGTCACATGCGCTTACCTCGCTGCTATCACTGAGGTGACTCACATCTCTTGTCTGAACAAATTCGACTCTGGCAGCCGCCATCACTGTCTGACTGTAGGTAGGATCACGTCCGCAACATAGCAACCCGTGCGGCGACGACGGTCTGATTTCGTCAGCTTCCGGTTTGACCATGACAACCAGTCTATCAGCCGCTGACGTGATCTGGCCGATCTCTCCCCGCTAGTGTGCACCATCGTAGTCAGCTGTTTCGCCTCCGTGACACAATCCGCACCCACTTACAAATCGTCTTTTGCAGAAGTTGTGTGAGGAGTACCTTGAAGATTTCCAGGTCCCACTGTTACATAGACATTGTAGATGGCTCTCTAAGGCAACTGTCATTGTCCTATTTTTGCACTTAGGGATACCATTATCACATTCCTTTCTTGAACTGGTTATGACACATAACTGTCAGCAGCTAAGGCAGACGCGTTTTATCGGGCTGATGTTTTTGAAAACGCAGCTTATTAATTAAAACCCTTCAAGGCAAGTTGAACAATCTCATCTCTAGTAAAGAATCCATTATCGCTTTTCTTGATAAGCTGGAAGTGTATGCCTAAAACATCGGATATCGAAAATTTTCACAGTTCCCAATTCTCGCTACAGTCACGGAGGAGCTGAAGGATGAATACTTGATTGCTTATGCCAGTCATCTACAACTACTCCAGAAAGAACTGAAATACAGTTTAGCAGTATAGCGCTTACGCTGGGCTACACAGGTATCCCATTTGTCGGGCGCGAGGAACAGCCTCGTGTTCAAAAATAAACCGAACTTTTGAAACACCGCACCAACCGGCAGAGGGAGCACGCTGCAGCTACTGAGGACACACCAACTATCCGTTAGAGAGAAACGCGACAAATGGCAGTGGGCTGTGTAAACAAGCCTACCTGCCTTCAATAGCCACATTAATATAATCACGTCATGCTGTGTTACATATTGCCATGCAATTTTGCCTCTTGTTCCGTATGAAAGAAACCGTTTTGGCTACATTACAAACCAGTATTTCTGAAGCATCCTCGATCAGTCTACTGAATTTACTGACGTACCCCATCCAAGAGGCCTCCAGGGGTTTTTGTCAAGGAACAACTCATTTGTGGCACTAATAACTTGAGCCAATATGTTGTAGCGTGTAATGGTGCACACCATCTCAGTTTTCGCAGTTGGGTGTTTCGCATAGCAGATGAAGCTATACTTTAGGGTTGCATGATCACTGAGCCGCAAGAGGGTCCATACTTTATACGTCACACACGCACAGTAGGTCTAGGAGAGATGACTCGTTACCGGTTCTGAACCTAGTGGACGAAATAATGTGGATGTAAAAATGGTACGGTAGCATTCAGCCTTTGAAGCTCAGTCTTGAGCGGTTCTACGATCATGGTAGAAATTTGTAAAGAACACGTTGAAATTACCCATGATGAAGAAGTGAATGTATTTCTTATTCGGAGTACGTCAATAGTTAAGAGACTGGTGCTTTACCAACTAGTGAACTGGAATTATTGTTAACAACTGTTTCGATGACCGAGTGAGCAATATGGCGCTTCACTAAATGGGGGTTGGTAACAGACCTCTTGTGGAACTTGAGCCGCTTAATAACCATCCACCTTGACAGGTTTTTTTACCCATTGGGCTGAAACCCCCGTGGTGGTAAGTTCAAGATATGGTAAGAATACATGAAAAATTCGCCAGAAGGAGTCCAATTGGCGTATATTACCTTGCTGGATGGGGGCCGTGTTATTGACCACATCAGTGGTCACGGACATGGAACAGTCGCAATATCAAGGGAACCATTGTATACGCTCACTCACCTCTGACTTGCGACTCTCACATGGACGGGTGTGTGCTTTTTATTGGCTCATCTGTATTCATTTCTATGTTTGGTTCGGTACTTTTCCCCTTCTCTATTTACTCATCATCAATAAGGTGATACGAGACGTGGTGACGGGGTCCCATCCAAAGGCCGTAGTTGAGAAATTGGTCTCCTAGCTGATCCCGGTTATTTTCATGGAGCAATACATGTATTCAGCAATCTGCTAGAGCACAGTTTGTGTAGTGTAACGTCAGTATATTTCTCATCACTGTCGCGGTGCCACGACAATTTGGTTTGAGCATTTCGGAGTCGCATAACTACTGACGAAATCGCTATCAAGTTGTCAGCTGTTTGTGGAACAGCCACTACATGTAACGAATTATGTTTCTCTTTATTCCAGCTGAAATACCCAAATGAGGACGAAGATCTCCTAATGCTGCGTTCAATCATCGATGTCAATCTACCCAAGTTCTTAAATCACGACTTGCCTCTGTTCAATGGGATTACTTCCGATTTGTTCCCCGGTGTGGAACGCCCCTCGCCCGACTACGAGATTCTCAATGCGGGGATTAAGTACGCATGTGAGAGCACTAACAGGCAGTACACGGACTACTTTGTGGAAAAGATTCAGCAGATTTACGAAATGATGATCGTGCGACATGGCTTCATGATCGTCGGAGGACCATTTGGTGGAAAGACAAGCGCGTACAAAACACTGAGCATAGCGTTAGGTGAAATAGCCGAGAAGGTATGTCTCTGCGTTCTGCAATAGTCATAAGTAAACACATCTGATTGTGACTGAACTTAAAATAATTTACAACATTCAGGTAAGTGTGGGAATTTGGCCTAGATTAGTGGTTCCCAACCATTTTGAGGCCGTTACCCCCAAAGCGGGTTCAATTTAAGCAGTTACCCCCAAACTTTCTAAAGCCAATTAGCTAGCAACTACTGCATTTTTTCCTTAAATTACGGCAAATGAATACCATATGTAATTACTTCCGATCATGCAAATAAACGAGACCCCATTGTAGTGCGAACAAAATCCGTGAGTTTCTTTCATTAAGTACCGCGTTCCAAGTATTCTTGCTGATGTCCTGAACACGACTTTGATTGTGCTGTTAGGAAGCGATATCCTTTACGCATGTTGCTGTAGACCGGCCATTCGTAACATTTTTGAGGCTTTCACAAATGGGGTTTGCTATATTCAACCCGACCCCCAATTTCCGTTTCAAACGCTAACTGGCGAATAACTATCGCGTTATTTGCTTCTAAGTACGGGAACTGATAGCTATTTGGAATAATTCTCGATCAGTAGAAAAAAGAAAACAGTTGTTTGGTACAACATTGTATGTAATCAGAAGGCGATATACATCAATGGGACGGTTGATATTGCTTAGTGCTAACAATTTCTGGTATATTTGGTTCAGTTTCTGCTAATGCACATCGGAAGTCGTGCTCCAGGTTCATTCGACTCCTTGCTTTTGTTTTTATTGAATCCATCGTCGAAAATCCGATTTCACATCTATAAGTTGTTGCAAATTGGATCAATATTCTCAATGCTCTTTCCGATAGCAATGGATACTCGCCACCTATGTTTATCCAAAATGCTACCAGTGGTGTGCTTTGGAAATCTATTTTTAATTGGTTATTTTCGCGCATTCCTGGGAATTGTGCTTTGGCTTCGATGGCAGTATCGGGAAAAATTTCCTCATCCACTGAAAAGGATCTTAGCACCCAAGCATTTACTTGGCGAGTTCCCAAATCAGGAAAATATTTGCTGATGGAATGGACCACTGATGACAAGTGGCAAGTTATATCATCTGTGAAAGCGCATGTTTCATGTCTTCCAGTGAGCACCATTGATAGTTCTGGAAAAGTCCTGAGAGGTTTCTTCGGACAAATGTGGAGTTTCGAGAAGCGAAGGCAAAAGGGGATTCAGTAGAAAAGAAACCGATCTACTTATCGTTACCGTTCAAGGGCGACGGGATAGTTGAATCAACGTCTAGAAGACTTTCTACCGCCATCACCCAAACGTACTATACAGCAAGCCTACGGCTAAGCTTCTACTCAGTGCCGACCCTGAATCAACAACTTAAGGACAGAATTCCAAGGTCAAGTACTTCATTCTGTGTATACGCTTTCTTGCTCGTGTCCATCAAGATATATCGAAAGAACTACCAGGAGACTGTCCGAGAGAGCCAGTGAACACTGTTCAGCTTGACTGTATATCGGCGTGACTAGATCAGTGGCAAGTGCAGTGTCTACACACTTGATCGACTCGAGCCATCAAGTCAGAGCGCATGAGGCGTTCCAGCCCATCTACCGCGTACCCAGATGCCACACAAGAGCGGTTAGATGTCGTCTACTGGCAGCTGCCGAGGCGATAGCCATCAGGCTTCATGACCCTGACCTATGTGCACACAAGAAATTTGTCCAGGCACTAATTCTACCCTGGTCCCCTGTAACACGGACACATAGTGTGGACAACGCCACACACACAAACTTACTGTTGATCGCCGTGGGGCCAATCGCCTAGCTTGGTCACTCAGACCATATGGGTTTTGAACCTTTACTCTTAGCTGATGTTTACGTTCATGCTCTTCATTTGTGGTGTATTAGCCTGATAAGGAACTACTGAAAACCAGCTTGTTCGCTAACATTTGTTCTAATCTGGAAACAATCGCGCGTCGCCTTGCCTGGTCGTCTGACCTAGGCTCAGTTACTAATATGAAATCGACTCCATAATTCGACCCAGCGAACGACTGCCTAACGATAGCCATGGGAGCCGATAGAGGCGCCATCTGGTTGTAGTGACTAATGACTGGTCACTTATGGCTAATCCAAAGTGCATGAGTAGTTTGTCGCATGTTTTATTACGGATGATTTTGTCCTTAAACTTGTTTAGCCACCGATTGATGACCCAATCGTCGTACTAATATTTACCCCCCGCAAATTGTCATTTTACCCTTTTGTGGGTAATTACCCTCAGGTTGGCAATCCCTAGCCTAGATGAACAGATACAGATTTTATAATATGTCTCACTGACCTGAACCTATCTGCATTTCACCAGTTGTGTGCACAATGACGGTTCAATGATGAACCTTTAACTGATACTTCATCCTAGACTACAATCCGAGCTGGTTAGCAAACATGCATGCTTCGAACGAAACGTACGGCCTTTCATCTAGCGAGGATGCTAATGGCTTTGGTGAATGTCAACACTAGCGTTCACTCAATTTGACCGCAGAAGTGTCCACACCTTATTTAAGCGCTGGTCTCTGCCTCACCTGACCCGTGTGCGGCATTATGCAGTGAACGATGATTAGTAACAACTAAAAAAGCAAGTGCTTGACAAGTCCCGTAGGATGGTAGCGCTAAGAGAACATTCTTAGATTTGAATACCAACGGATCGGGCTCAGCGAACCACTCGAATTGACTGGGAGGGACAAAATGGAAAATTATCCAACTGTTGATTTTCCGTTTATCACATGGATATCTCATAATTTCATTCGAATCTCGAAGCGTTTGACCTTTGTTACTTTGCTAACTGGCGATACAGTTGCAATTTTGCTATTTCATAAACCCTTCACACACTAACTGAAATCTTCAACCGGCTTTTCTGATTGAGTGTAAGTCCCTGTTCCTTCTACAGTGTACACAAACTTGATGAAATTAGCAGGCAAAGCAAATTAACCATTTGTGATAAACCTTTTAGTATTGTTTGAAAAACTTTAGCTTTAAGATATAGCTGACGTAACCGGGAACATCGGCATCCCTGGAAGTGAGAAATTTGTGTATACGAAGCCAGTATTGTGCAATATTGGGTCAGTGGTCTATTCCGGTTGCCACACTCCCTGTACCAATGTTGATTTATGTTTCACGCGTTTCTTCATTTTATTTAGCTAACTGCAGCCACTCTTTGTGAATTAGGTTACATCTCCTCCACCTATCCGCCTATTTTTCTGCTAACCGTTACGGGGTCTTCCTAAACCTGAACATTAGGTCATTGCGTGGCAATTTGCTATTCGCAATCTTCACGTGGGAGCTGTTCACTGACTTTCTGCTTCATGGTACACTCCACCAAGGTGAAAACGTTTATCTCTCTTGACACACACGGATCAGTAACGATTAGCCAATTTGTTCAGCCAGAGGTAATAAGGGTAGGGGAAGGTTCTTGATTCACTCTGGCCCTCAAAATGTGAACACCTGCGTCTGGCCGATTAGCGATCGGGACTGTTGGAAGAATAAGCAGCATGACGCCTTCGTAAATATCCACTGGGATATTTACGCTGACGCAGACTACTCATGATCCCTGCCCAGGTTGTACGCCCGCCCGGAGCAGAGTATGTAATCAGAGATTATGTCACGTGTTCATTAGTCGGTTAGAAGGGTCGACTGGATCCCAATGATTGGACCACACTCCCTCCTTACGTCCACCTATACGCTAACACCATATCCTGTGGCACCGAACTAGTGTTTGACAAGAGGAGGAGGAGAGGTGCAAACACATAGAAAAGAATAGTGAATGCTGTAATATGAGGGCAAGTAGCAGTTTAAATTCGTACGACTGCGTAAAAATACGAGCAAGGACTGGTTGGAGGATAATATTGAATTAGTCGTTGTGTGATTGGATTTTGATTTTGAAGCGCTTGTTGTGTGCATCGATTGCGACGCGCAATCTCAATGTCGACCGTGATCCGCAATGAAGCGAACTTTGGCCAATTCGATCACTGGGACTGTAGCTGAAGCGTATGGGATCTGGGTGTTGCTCGCCCGAAAACACTGCACTCCACTACGCGTTCCGACTTTGTTTGCTCTCATCAGGTAGAGATAGCGGGCCTCGAACCCGAGACCATTGGGATGTCAGTTGCGACATCTACCCACTTAGCCACCGCGTCACGACGGGTAACGCTTGACACAGTGGTTAATGACTGACTTGAGGGTCATTTTGAACTACTCCTTGTGTGATTGGATAGCGGCATTCAGTTTCAAATAAGGGCAACACGCATAGTGGAATGTTCAAAAAGTTTAAACCATAAATTATCTGTGAGCTGTCAATACTTCAATGGTTTTTAATTCTTTCGCTTAACAATACATAACACATACACAACTTGGGATTCACAAGTGTGAGGCGTCGTTGTCAGTGGATACCCGTTATCAGAGTTTAGCACTGGAGAAATGTAAATGTAACAATTATTCGAACTGCTGTATCGAGTTTGCCTACACTATTTGCGTCGGCATTTTGTTCCAAACATTGACAACTAGCCTTTCGAAGCACAGATGGTGAGGAACTCGTTTCAGCTGCTGTCCGCGTATGCTATATTGTTCATCCGTGGGACGGTGTCCTCACCATGAGGAGTCACCGTGATGTAGAATACGGTAAGATATGATGTGATCGACTTGGTCCCGAGGATAAGACAGAGTGTGTAGCCCTAATCTCGGTTGAGATAGTCCTCCGACAATCTAAACGAAGACTGGGCAGTGATCGGAAAATCTGTTACTAAGGAACAAAGGATCATTTTAGATTGTACATAAGTTCTTGGCACTGCCTTATTGCAGAGCAAATTCACTGGTTGATTCTTGCTCGCCATCTACCTGAGTTCATTCGCTCGCACGCGTCGCTCGTTCATTCGCTTGCACTCGTCGCGCGGTATTTGGACCACTTCTATCTTGGCTGGAACAAAACTCTGCTATTCACGATACCTCAAACCAATTCCCCACTGTTCATTCGGCCCGTGTATTCAGGGTCGACTTACGCTAGCGGCGCCGATTGGCTTTTCAGTCCACTGATCGTGCGCCGTTTCACTAGCGTAACCTTCCAGCTACCATCACAACCTTCTGCATCGGTCATCGTGTGACGCCCCATAAAGTGGATTGGACCGCAGTGGTGACATGTTGAACCCGTTAGATTTTCTGCGCCTTACTTCGGTTGATCGGACAGTAGGCGGGCGATCCGTACTCTAGCATTGCGACCTCAGTAGAATCTCAGGATGGAACAGCGGATTTACTACTTCCGCCATTATGGATTCTGGTTGTGTCCAGCATACTGGACTCAAGTGTGCGTATAGAAGAACGGTGGATCCGTCACGGGTAAAATGTTAATTACTAATCAAGTTCCGCAGGTCAAGAACGAAACAAAAAATGAAGTGTTAAAAAAGTGCCGCGTATCGATGGAATTCACAGGAAGTTTCACATGTGCACACCGTTTGGTTACGTCATGTCGTGTACCAGTAACTTGGGTTAACTCATGTAATGCAGCGGTATAAACGCTGAGCTTGCGACATGAACTCCACAAAAAGTATATTTCCACTTGGCCTAACTGTTCATTATGAACATATGCTTAAAAAATCGAACTCTTACCACCATAACACAACTCTGCGAATTTCATCACTAATCTGGGACCCTGATAGTCTATTTCAGCCCCAGGATAACGCGTACATGAGAAAAAGGGGTTGTGCACTTTGGTTACCGTATCTCGGCGCAGACCGAAGATGTCGTAAGATTAGCATCACCGGACCGTATAACTCCACAAATATCTGCTCACGCCAACGAGATCGTCATATCGACCTGCATGTATTCGAAGACCGGACTGCTTACGAAGAGGAGGAAAGGTGTGGCACCTTGGGTGTTTTGCTGAGGTGCGTGGTTATGCGGACCGACCTCAAGCTCCGATCGGATCAGGTAATCTAGGCGATCGTTTGGAGCCCAACACGCAGACCAGTCAGTGCGACCTACCTAGACCGCTTGCGGGCGCTCAGTTCGCCTCTTCACACACGTGTACTTGCCTTTTTTATTTGTTCCCGGATTCGCAAGTCACTGTGATCAAGGTGGTCATGTACTTCCGTCTAATAATACTCTCCCATTCTCATTTTACATTATTGCTGGATTTATTTGTCTGAGTGTCCCATCCAAACGCGCAACTTTCTGTCGTACAGCAAGCCATAATTTCCGAGGGTGTGTACTCAAGTTGCTCCTTATTGTCAGACGTTTCATGTCAGCGTACCCAATTGGGAAAAACGCAGACAATCTATTCCTCTTCACTTTGCATAACTGAGGAGTCCTTGCTCGTCATTGAGCTAGTTTTATTATTTTTGTTCAGGGACTTATGGAAGAGAACAAGGTGCAATACACGGTTATAAACCCGAAGGCAGTCACAATGGGTCAATTGTATGGTCAGTTCGATCCGGTCTCACACGAGTGGTCCGACGGAATCCTGGCGGTGTCGTATCGAGCGTTCGCAACCTCCACCACACCGGATCGCAAGTGGCTCATTTTTGACGGCCCCGTGGACGCGGTGTGGATAGAAAACATGAACACTGTGTTGGACGATAACAAGAAGCTGTGTCTGATGTCTGGTGAAATCATCCAGTTGGCCCCCACCACCAATCTGATTTTCGAGCCCATGGACTTGGAAGCCGCCTCACCGGCGACTGTGTCCCGCTGTGGTATGATCTACATGGAGCCGGCTAGTTTGGGCTGGCGTCCACTCTTCCGGAGCTGGCTGAACAAGCTACCTCCTGGGATAAAATCTCCATACAAGGCAGTCTTAGAAGACATGTTCGAGCGGTTTGTTGACGCTGGGATAGCTTTAGTTCGGAAGGGGGGCGGTAAAGTGAGTACGATACAGTGGAATAACAGGTGTGTATTGTAAAACAGTCAAAACTGTCATTTGTTATTGGGAATCAATCCGGTCCTCGCCAATCGGATTGGAAGAAATCATTTGTCCTTTATGTTCTTATCCGAACTCATTCTTTCACTTTGTTTGTTCTGCTTTCCGGGAAACGGTTCCTTTAAAGCCGCCTTCTTTTCCCTTGGGTGCAGGAATTATCACCCACTGGAGACATTAACCTAGTCAAATCGCTGATGAATCTGATCGACTGCCACATGGATAATTTCCACGAGGAGGCATGTCTGGACCGATTTGACCCTACAGAAGCCTCTGCAGTGGTTGAAGTGAGTTGTGTGCCCTTGTTAATGGCCATGTTCGAGAAAATAATCAGACGACTATATATATATATATATATATATATATAACACTATACCATTTACAATATAATCGGCTGAGCGCCACAACACACAAGAAAAAAGTATAACATGAAAGGGAAAACAGCTGTTAGGGTAGAAGAGTCTTGCAGCAAGTGCGCCACTGCGTACGATCCTCGGCCATATCCTCCAGCGTTTGCAACCAAATGTTCTCGGGGTCTTTTGGTCCCCAACCCGGGAGTCGGGAAGGCCCGACATCAGCCAGCTTCAACCTTTGCGCCCTAACCCATTGGATCCAAGTATTACATTGCCCTCCTTTTCGTCGCTTCCAAACCACACATGTGCTCGCAAATAGGGCTCGTCGTGGTAGCCGCTGGGTAGGCATGCAAAGCACATGGCCAAGCCAGTGAAGCCTCCGCAGTGAGATAACGCTATCAGTTGATCGGCAGAGTTCCTTAGATCTGAAGACTCGCCAACGGATTTCCTCATTACTGATGGAGTGCTGACATCGAACACCAGCAATGCTTCGCAGGCAGCGGTGATCGAAGACTGATAGCCGATGAACATCGGTTTTGCGAACGGGCCAAGTTTCACAGTCGTACAGCAGAGTCGTTCGTACCGTAGCATTATAGACTCGTCCCTTGAGAGTGAGGCTGAGATCACGACGAAGCCACAGGTGACGAATGTTAGCGAAAGCGACTCTAGCCTTGGAGACACGCAGCGAGATCTCATCTGTCAAACCGCCAGTACTAAGACAACTCCCAAGATAAAATAATTTGTCGACCACTTCCAACGGATGCTCCGAAAGGGTGAAAGAAGGACATGCGCTTGGCCAGTCCTGTAATAGGATCTTGCGTTTGGAAGGGGCAAAGCTCAACCCAACTTGGGCGGCGGACATCTCCAGTCCGATCAGCACATGCTGGGCGGCTTGGGAGGACTCGCAAATCACAGCGATGTCATCGGCGTACTCCAAGTCCCGAAGGCGGTCACCAGGGAGCAGTTCAACACCGCAGGACAGAATTATCCAGGACAGTATCCAGGATCTCGTCCATGGCGAAGTTGAACATGAATGGAGAGGCTGGGCAACCCTGTCTAACACCGCTAGTGATACTGAAACGGGGCGAAATTTCTCCGTATGCTCGCACGCGGCCCGACTGTATGTTATAGCAATGAAACAACAGCTGGGTGTTTGTCAGTTATACACTGTGCGCTGAATGAGCTGTCCACTTGACCCGGAATTTATAGTCATGTTTTACTTGTTTGTGAATCTATACCCTCAGCTGCTAGGAATGTGCAGCTCACTGTACTCGTGTAATGCCCACTTTTGATGTAACGAATTCCAAGCATAACTTTCCGTATCATACCAATTCTCCCTATATTTCACCACTGATCACATAAGCATTGTAGGTAGATGCAAGTACAACTGAACTGACTGGGTATGCACGCTTTCGTTCCAACAAGTCTCTCAAGGTGAAAGTACAAGTCTCTGTGGGCAACTTTGTAGTAAACGAGCTTGATTGGGCACTTCAGTTCCTGGTCAGTCTCATTCAGCATATCGAACGAATGTGTAGAATGACAAAACCCACTAACTTGGGGATTTAGCCAACCAGATGCTAAGCTCTTCATGTACTGAAAATTGCACCGACGGTAGCGACAGGCAACGGTAGCACATGTTCCTATCATTTCATACATACTTCATGAAATCACAGGTAACTGTCCATGTGCGAGTCTAATGCGTGCTCATTTAACCTTACATCTGAACAATCTACGCTACAACTAAGAGATGTGCATGATTGTTAAACGAATCACTTTTATTGTGCTCCAGTCAGTGGCTAGAGTGAAATTGCCCGTGTAAAAACAGACAATTCGTCTGATATCTTCTGCCTCTTTTCCCTCATTTATGCATTATCCCAGTGCATATTCTTTTTCTCATACGTTTGGTCCATCGGGGCTACGACGGACGAATATGGGAGGAAGCTGTTCGACAAATTGACTCGGGAACTCATGAACGGTGGCATGATGGAAGAGACAAGACAAAAGTTAGCACTCATAGAATTGGTCCCACCTCCGTTGCAGGACTACGGGAGGCCTTTCCCGATTAAGCGTTCCGTGTTCGACTATCGTCTCGTGCTTACGGTGAGCTACGATAGGTTTTCCCTTCGCGCAACCTAGCAGTTTTTGGTAACATACAGTTAGAAATCCACAGAGCCACAATATCTATACCAGACTAGAAGTATGACACATCAATGTAGCTACACCACTGAAGGTAGGGTGGCGGGCATTCTGTTCAAGTTGTTCATTTCTCAACGTGAAGCTCTTAATTGAATTGATTGTTCAGTTTGTAGACCTCGCGGATATGCAGAGTTACACTGAGTGGGTTCTACGTCGATATCTTCAGATTGCTCATTGCTAATTTTACCAATGGATCAAGAGGGAGGAACGCAATATTCTGCCTTGAAAACGGCGTGTTTGAGTTGGAGGAGAATTTCACTCATCTGTAAGCAGCTACTCGTGGTCGATCCATACTCGGATCCGGAAGCATTGCTTAAGCAGTTGCGCAACAGGGCCTGAGCTATTTGATTCTACACGTTAAGACCTGGACAGCGCCCCTCGCCTGTCATTAATTCTTCCCATAACACACACCAACAGGACAACAAATCTCGTTCACCACCATGGGTAAATTGTGGTAAGTTGTATTAAGAGTAAATCCGGAAATGTCATCATGGACCGGCACAGTTGCGGGTCTGCAGACCCGTTTTCACCACCACCTGAGCTAGTGTGGATTCAACAGCGTCTTTCGTGTTCGCCGCTTTCTACGTAGGAGCCCGTTGGTTTCAACTCGACTGTGTGCCGTTTCTCAACCGCACCCAGACTTCAGCGGTAGAAACAAACTGTGCAGCAACCAGTCTACGTTGTCCTGGTGCACGCCAGTGCTCAAGCCGAGCCCAGTCTCTATGCTGCCAATCACCAACCCGTCCATCGGGTGATCAAGTCGGAGTACAGTACGGACACCCAAGTCTCGGGTGGCACTGATTGCAGTTACGTATCGGTGGTCAATCCGCCTGTTCAATAGAGTCATGATGGAGAGTCAGCTTGTATGTGCCACTCATGACGTACACGTAGACAGATTCTCCATCGGGTGTGGAACCAGCTAGTACATGCTCCAGCAAGCGTTATCAATGCAGGCTATTTCCTCTCGAATTCTTAACAGTGGGGTCGCCCACATTGGCCTTAACCAATTTACGCTCAGTTGTTCACATTGATTGATACCAATTGTGTGTTTGTGTTTGTGTGTGTGTGTGTGTGTGTGCGTAAGGAAGGCAAAAAGTTGGCTCCAAAAATGGTTAAAGCTACCTGACACGCTGAACACATAGCAGTTGACATTTACCACGGGCTATTTAGTAAGCAAGGAGTTCGTACGGAGTAGGGTTGTCGCTTCCGCATGCAATACAGGTGGAAAATTTGGCCGTTCCGCTACAAGCCGGTAGATACGACGGTATCCTTAGAACATGCCCGCTCGAAAGTGGTAACAGTTAAAAATGGGCTGGTTTTGCCTGTTCGTGCTAATGTTGAACATCCCTCTTAGTGTGCGCATTCAACGAACTCATGAATGTCGATCCACTGTTGTCGAGGTTATCACAGGCCAGAGTTTTTACTGACTGCACTGTTGCCGTTAATTCAACACGCTACTATTTCTCGTCAACCATTTGTTCGGCTCCCTGTTTGTGGGTTATTGTGACCTCGACTTGAAATTGTTAGCACTCTTGAACCCCGTCACCTGTCAGTGGCCAGCGCGACTATGTAATGGATCGCGACACAAAGTTCGCCTGGGGAAGTGAGTAGCGCTGTTGGGCTTGGAGACAGTGACTGTCTTTCAGATTGCCTCCCATTGGTTGCCGATGGTACTGTTGGATGTACTCGTGATGGCTTCCATTTGAAACAACAGCGTCTTCCCATCTGGCGGTAATCGTTTGGACTCACTGTCAATGTTCACCAACCGTCTGTAGACCGGTCTCGTCTTGCGAACGCTGTCATCGTTCTGCCCGCCGTTCAGACATTTTGAGTTGGGTCCTCTGAACTGTGGTGACTCAACCTGTGTAGGTACGACAGACCACTGCTACGGGTAAATTAACGACCTAGCGGAACTCGTTATTGGCGGTCACGTCAAGTAATGAAATTATTTAGGACACCGACCAGCATCGATCATATGGGAATTGGTTACTCCGAGTTGAACTCTGCCTATGATGAACATGATTCTCAGACGATAATAAACGCTGTGGTTCTCTGCAGAGACGAAGTGCATTGGCTAGGGCTTCAAATTATACTACTTAAATTTCAGGGCCAACCTGTAGACAATCAGGAATTAGCGCGCTTCTCGCTACCGCAGTTGCATTCCAGTTGGCCATGCGCTTTTCCACATTGGCGATCTCATACGAAACGACCTTAGTCAGAGCTTATCGTTATTTTGAATTCCGCACACTCGCTTACTTCAGGCCTTTGTAAGTTTGCGGCGAATTGGCGATCAGATCTCTACCGTTAAGTGGTACACGTATGGATCGTTACTGCTTCTCATCTGCATTTTAACCCTAAATGGATCTCACGTGAAGTTGTCCGTTAAGATGGAGCATGCTACGAACGTATGGACCGTACTTATCAGCTACAGCCGTATTGTATTTCGGCCGTGTTTAGCTGGTCCAGTTGACTTCGATGAAGATCTTTAGGATGCACATTTGCTGCAGGCCTGCGTGTGTCCTAGCGGAAGTCGCTACTACGCCACCAGTGACAGCTGGACATCGCTTTGAGTAACCGTAGTAATGTATCTGATGAATGTTATCCTTTCTACTTTCCAGGTGTTTATATCGCAATGTACGATGGTGCACGCCGCCTGGGTTTTTGAGTTTAGGTATAGAAAACCCCTCTCACTTTGTTGATGGTAACCACCTTCCAGCTGGTATCCTCATTCACTGGCTGGTGGTTACGTTGCTACGAAACGGGGAAACAGGCGAGCGGCTTGTGTAGATCAGCAAGAAGATTCTGACAAACCAGAGCAGTAACGGTGGTCCACATGCAATTGTGCGCCAGAGTACGTACACATTGGACTCTTGAAGTCCGGATCCAGCTAAGACTGGTATTCAACACTGAAGTGAAGTTAGTGAATTTGGTTTTCCGAAGCATTCGCTTTCCTATTTGATGGGCTGCTATTCCTATGGAAAATACTGACAAGGCAAATGGTGCTCAAAAGGATGAGCTGAACAGGTAGCCACGATTTAATGTCGCTAGTGGGAGTCGTGCGTCGTACTGGTTTCTATTGACGCAACTTCTGGAAGCGTCACGTTGGTAACGGGTTACACGTTAAACTACTGCATCCATCACAAAATCCCATGTTTCCTACTTTCCGCAGTCTTCTCTCCGGTAGATGGTGAGTGAGTACAAGCGGAACAATGCGAATAATTCGGTTTTACCTGCATGTCCGACAACCGACAGTGTTCGTCATTACTGGTTGCTGTTTATCGTCACTATTTGGTGTTACCCTATCGAATCTGTCTTCCGACAAAGACACTGTTACAACTACGGAGCCAGACAGCAGGCTAACTTATGCGCTTGGCCACGGAACTAAGGGCGGTAGGCAGAATGAATCGTCCAGTTGGACCGTGACTCTAGAACATCAATCTAAGCTAGGCAATCCAGTAGAATTGCAATGAAATGGAACGACTCGCAATCCCATGACAGCAACGATACCACATATCGTTCAAGCAGAGGCGAATACGCAGTTGCGAAGGCGACACAGTAAAACTAATGGAAATAGAAGATTTGAAAAACGGTAAGCTTATAGTGCTGAACAAAAACGATTAATATCGGAAATTTATAATATCCGGACAAATTTATCTGCATGTTGTCAAGTGCATACTGCAGATTGCGTGCAAAATTATGTACATAGCAACATCAACATCTGGCATATGTGAGATAGCAAATTTACCAAAGGACATACACTGACACACAGAAAAACACTCAGCTCACCTGTTTGTTTGCCAACTGGCCCATTACCACGACAGAGCCAATTTGACGAACGCATCTTTTCGTCACATACCTTTGGTTCCAGCAGTATTGTCCTTTTTGCTCTGTTACTCGGGAATCAAGGGTCACACCTTCGGGTGAGAGGAGAGCACACTAAATTGCCAGCTGTCCAATAGTAGATGTTGGTCTACCGCAACGTGTCTCTCACCTGGTCACATGGGTGTGAACGACCGGAGCGATGGCCGTATGCATGCATCTGGGTACAGGTGTACTTGCCAGTCTCGTCTATCGTGAAAACGCTGGATGGGCGCGGATGGTTGAGTTGAAGTCAACTACGGCACGCCACAGGGCAAGTTCACCGATCGATACATACCGTGTTTCGGGATGGTTGGAACGAATGCAGGCGTGCAAACTCAAGACAGCAGTGCATCATTAACGGGCTACCGCGGTAGAATTGTGGTGGCGCTTGGACAGGCTTAACTGACCTGAGCAAGGAGTGTTCAATAGGTGCTTAGTGTTATCCCAGCTAATGACAAAAGGGTTATTGGCAACGCTCTTGTAGACTGAAAGTTAGCTTCCAACAACCCACCGTAGCAAAACAGACATTCCTCACAATTAGCTCTTGCAACTATGACATGTAACGTTTTGAGAGAGGAGGCTTGAAAAGCTATGCCGCCTAAAGATTACTCGCTGCCGCATAGCCTAGTATCCCGTCACAGTCTTGAGCGTTCATTCCAACATATTCACTGATACGACAATATTCCATTAGCATGGAACTGAGAAGCTGCATTTTTAGGCGATATCTAATCCTCGCGAATACTGAACTTAACAGATTTCACAAAGCTCGTTGGCTCGCACAACTGATTGCCAAATCGTGGGATCACAGCATCCGCATGTGAGTTCTCGCGCATACTGTCCACCACAAGCCAGTTATCCCTGTGGGAACTCCTCTGACACATTTTGCTGCAAACTCCCATTATCAAATTCAGAAGGATCGATAAGCCGCGTTTTCACGGTCTGTATTCTTATTGAACAATCGTTGCACCATCTTCCTTTCCCCCTTTATGTGCCCGGAATGTTATTGTTTAGAAGCACTCATCCCACGCCAAAGTCTGTACGCCGATGAACATGATACAAATACGAAACCACGTAGCCTATTCTCACATCATCATGTTCACATTCTCCCCGTATTCCCTAGGCATAACCATGAAAAACAAGTATTGGTATTGTGAACCAAGTTGCATAGAAGTGGTCAGTCTAAGCGCTGTCGAATCAGCTTTGCTCGTTGAATGCATTCTGGCCCGATGCACCATCAGCATTTGCCCTTACACCAGTGTAGTCCAGCAGTCAGTAATAACAGTGTATACGTATATTAACATAAACGACATAAAATGGCGATATATCCGTCAATGACGAAGATGCTCAATGTGCCTGCCGGCGTTCTGCTAGCAGTGCGGAAATCGCCTGAGGCAATAGGCTATAACTTTTAGCAAAGTTTCCGTGTTGATGGGGTGATATTCGTTGATAATACTGCATTTCATTTGTTCCAGTGAAATGCGCGTTGTAAACTCTTCTTTTCTACTAACCCCATAGGAAGAAATGTAAGGGGTTCAAATCTGGTGACCGGGCAGGGCAATCCTTTGGACCCCCGCGACCGATCCACCTTTGACCGAACACCTCGTTAAACTAATCCCGCACCGTTTGTGCATAATGGGCAGGTGCGCCATATTGAACCTATAACGGCTGAAGTGAAGTGCCGAAGTAGCCAACGATAATCGGTGGTGAAAACATCTCTGTATTGTAGCTCCTACGTTACTTGCCAGCGACAGTTCCCTTGCCATGTGAGAACTATGATTGACAGAGGAATGGCGGTAATCATACTTGAGTTACTAGGCAAACACGGGGTTAACGTCATATGAGCAACGGAATTACGTGACCCTGGATTTCAAGAAGCGCCTAACACAGCCTAATGAGCATCAGCGGTTTCGTCCACCGCCGCCAACTTTACAGTAAACATCAAAATCGACGCCTGCACTTCGTCGGACAGTTGAGCGATCGTGCGTTCCTCACGTACCCATCTTGTTCTACTTCCTCGTAGCATACATTCTACCCCGACGAAGTATTGGCGCCATTACCCATACACACGCATGCCTGCAGCAAGTGGGCATCCTAAAGGTCTTCATCGAAATCAACTGGACCAGCTAAACACGGCCGAAATACAATACGGCTGTAGCTGATAAGTACGGTCCCTACGTTCGTAACGTGCTCCATCTTAACGGACAACTTCACGTGAGATCCATTTAGGGTTAAAATGCAGATGAGAAGCAGTAACGATCCATACGTGTACCACTTAACGGTAGAGAGCTGATCGCCAATTCGCCGCAAACTTAAAAAGGCCCGATTAAGCGGGTGTACGGAATTCAAAGTAACGATGAGCTCTGACTAAGCTCGTTTCGTATGAGATCGCTAATGTGGAAAAGCGAATGGCCAACTGGAATGCAACTGCGGTAGCGAGAAGCGCGCTAATTCCTGATTGTCAACAGGTTGGCCCTGAAACATAGGTTGTTTAATTTGATGCCCTAGCCCGTGCACCTCGTCTCTGCAGCGAACCACAGCGTTTATTATCGTCTGAGAATCATGTTCATCATAGGCAGAGTTCAACTCGGAGTAACCAATTCCCATATGATCGATGCTGGTCGGTGTCCTAAATACTTCCAGTACTTGACGTGACCGCTAATAACGAGTTCCGCTAGGTCGTCAATTTACCCGTAGCAGTGGTCTGTCGTGCCTACGCAGGTTGAGTCACCAAAGTTCAGAGGACCCAATTCAAAATGTCTGAACGGCGGGCAGAACGATGACAGTGTTCGCAAGACGAGACCGGTCTACAGACGGTTGGTGAACACTGACAGTGAGTCCAAACGATTACCGCCAGATGGGAAGGCGCTGTTGTTTCAAATGGAACCCATCACGAGTACATCCAACAGTACCATCGGCAACCAATGGGAGGCAATCTGAAAGACAGTCACTGTCTCCAAACCCAACAGCGCTACTCACTTACCCAGGCGAACTTTGTGTCGCGATTCATTACATAGACGCGCTGGCCACTGACAGGTGACGGGGTTCAAGAGTGCTAACAATTTCAAGTCGAGGTCACACTAACCCACAAACAGGGAGCCGAACAAATGGTTGACGAGAAATAGTAGCGTGTTGAATTAACGGCAACAGTGCAGTCAGTAAAAGGAGTGGGGCCGTGTTGTTTGATGGCCAGCGCTTCGCCATACTTTAAAACCTGTGTTTCATTTGACTCGAAGATAACCGGAAAAGTGCGCACATGGTCCACGTTTTATTTGTCTGTCAGCAGATGACGTTTGATTGACGGGGCTGGAACTTTGTATGGCCAGTCGTTGGCACTTGGGGCGATTGTTGTGGTTGTTGTCGGGACTTGCCGTCTCATTCCGTTCGGTACAAGCTCTGCGACCTTCACCTGCAGCTAATGCTCTGTCCTCCCCACATAGTTGGCCTTTTCAGTTCAATTCAAGAAATAGCTTTGTGCGCCCGAATGGGTGGATATTCAGTTGTTACACGCACGTCTTCATCCCTGTTAAAGGGGAACACAAATTTTATAAGCAGCAAAATCAGCAACATTGTTACCATGCAAATTTTCTTTTACGCTCCAGTACGACTGAGGTGTGCTTGCACAAAAAGCGCGGGAAGTATGGGAGTACGGATGAGTGGTAAGCCGTTGTTCAGGAATACAGGGATCTGCACTTTTGTCTAGTTGAGGAAGTTGATATATAACTGCATGTAAAGGAGTAAAGGACGGGTTAACAGCTGGACAGATGCACCGGTGGCTTAACTGATGGAGTAGGGATGCGAGTCCTTGTGGACGGTAGTACCGGTTACGCCGCGGGGCACACATGCGCCACTGCGGATTTCAAACGTCGTTGAAATACTTGGCTTACATTGTCCCCCTTACAGAGTAGTTGCTGCAATTATGTAGCCAGAATTAACTGTCTGTGATTTATCAAGCGCTTGTGAAGTTTTCAGTCAGGAAGAGTAACAAGCTGAGGCTAGATGTGACGAATTTGTACACATTAATCCTCAATAGATTAGTTCACTTTCATGAACGTAAATCGTGAACTTCGAAGGTTGACTTTTCCCCGCAGTGGTGTTTGTAGGGATCGTCATGTGTGTTTGACGATTGTCGGGTACGCACGGTACTAATCAATTGTCCCTTTTTATATTTGTCTCTTTTAGATACCTAGAGTGGGAGTACCTGTGAGTTGTATTCCTCATGGAGCAGTTTAAGTACCACAATTCAACATTTCATGCTATATATGCTGTATGTCATGATCGATTAGGAACCCAATGGTGTTAGTCCGCCGTATCCACCACCTTCCAGTACTTGCTGATGGACATGCAGTTCTCATCCGTCCCTTTCTGCTCATTTTTCACCTCGTAGCGTCTCAGTGCCTTTGCTGGTATCCGAACAGGTGCATTCCATTAACAACAGTCGTTCGTTCCCCATCGATTAATGTTATGGAGTATGGATATTTGATGTGGTATATGAACGAATATTGTAAGAAGAAGTATCCAGCGGCTCCTATCTTACAGGTGCAAGCGATAGCATCGGATGGGTGAACTGCTTTCTGGCCGCTGTGCTTCCTACCCATTTCCTCTCGTCCCGTTTCTCAACAGTGCTTTCACGATTCCAAATTTAAATGGTAATGAATTTAGATACACAGTTCAGTTCTGGTGTGATCCCGTCGGCTGGGACCAGGCTGTTTAGGGGATGATTATACTTGAGTTCAGTGTTACCATGAACAAGGCTCCAAAAACGGATAGCCAACTAGAAATGTGCGCCTGCTGTATTAGTAAAAAATTTCATGATTTGGAACCTTCTAAGCATGAGGTTTCGGCCAACCGGTGATAACCGGTTGGCGAAGGGGGTTCAATCCATTGACCACCCGTGTGGCTGTTTACCGAAGCGGTCGGCTAGGGATCTGTTTGGCAGTATGCTGCTGCGTGTAAGTTGTATGCGGTAAAAGGAAGCTTTCATGTGTATTATCATGTGATTCATAGCCAAAACTGGTCATTGTTAGAACCGTTAAGTGGCTAATCGTGAATAAACTGACAGTAGCGAACTTCACGTAGCCCTTCCGTTGGGCTATTGAATCCGGATAGATGTTGTTAACTGGAAAATTAATGCTTTGATCTGATCTGGTGATATGGACGATATCGTTCTTTTCCTGATTGCGGCTAATTCAGACTTCTAGGTTGGGGCGTAACGGTACCCACTGACTGTTTAACGGTTAATGGGCGGGTGTCCAACAGCAGAGTTGCGGCCAACGCGAGAAATTCCCAGCAGATGAAGGGGACTGACTATCACTCTAGTACTGGGCCTTAGAAACATTAACCGTGAAGTTCACTAAAAGCATTTCTTCGTGAAGTTAAGCTTTTGATGCTTTCAGCAACATAATTTCCAGTTCCCGTCTATTTTTACGTGCCTCTCTTTCTATCTATGCTAGATGCCCATCGGCGAGGACGGTGAAGAAGCCGTAAGTTAACAAGTTCTACCTCTTTTCATCGTTTGGTATGGCGGCAATGGGCAGATGTATTATGGTCTCAGTTTAAAAAAGGTTTGGTACTTGAAGTGACCTAAACACTCAGAGATGTAAATCAAATCGCATTATGGGTACAGCACATAAACTCCAGCAAGTTAGACCAACTAAAGGGATCAATAAGGTAGATTGTGGGCACAATGCCGATGAGAACGTTGCATGTACTCATTCAGCGTGACGATACAGGGGTGGCTACTTTGTCGGTATTGGACACAACCCTGTGCACAAAATCCGATTCCACACATTCTTTTCGAAAGCAGTCAAACTCTCTTCTATCAGACAGTACTCCGAAACGTTAAGGATTCTCACTCAGGGCATCAAAAACTGCTACTTACAGACACAAATGAGGGCGAAACAAGTCGTGGAGTGCATTGCTGGGAGAAAGCAGCTCCGAAACTCCCCACTTCGGATGTGGTCACAGTGAGCTAAATGGCAAAAGCTGGCTTCATTTTATGCCGTGGCCGTAATTGAGATTACGTATCGCAATCCGGACACACAGCAGGTGCTCCAAAACCCAACAACAACATTACGTGGTATTTTCACCTTCACCTCCTCTTCCTGCCAATTGGCTGGGGCGACAGTCAGCGCTGGTCTAGGGGTCAGGTATCCCACTACTTTTCATCGTCTGGGTGGATGCGAGGAGGCGGATGTGGCATTTCGGTTGGCACTGCTTCCATCGGGACTGATAGCCTATTCATTTACTATTCTGCTTGATGGTGCCCTCACTCCCCTGTGTCACGTGACAGCGTTAGCAACTACGCGCTTAGTTTAACCGACAGTTCACTTCTAGCCTTCAATTAAACTGAAGACTAGCGCCTCCCACTGAATTTTGTCATCGCTCCAGAGCCCATCCATTGACCTACCGCAGCTATTAGGCCAAGTACAGCATTTGTTGGTCCATCGCCAGGTGTCAGGATGAGGCGCATTGACCGGGAGAATCGGCCTTTTCGATTATCTAGGAAAGGAGCAATGTCGGACTACGTACACATCCCTGGGGATTCCCAGAGAGCCTCACATAAGCGCCTTCTTCCTTTTCAACTCATTTTACTTGTTCAGCCAATTCATAATTGCCACTCTCAATCAGCAGGCTTAGGCTAGTCTAAAAATGCACCAGACGCCGGCGTTTCGACCTTCTGGGTCTCGTCAGTGGTGCACCTCCCAGCGGACCCCTGCCGGTGTCTAACATGCTCTGTCACTGTCACTGAGGCTGTATGATACGATATCAGTGCAACCCTGCTCTCAAATCACAGTCACTGATTCAAGGCCGATAAGTAGGTTGCCAAGTTTCAGGAGGAGAACTTTGTCGGCCACCTCTGTTACATGGCTAAGAGGGTATCGTATCATTTGGTGCTATCATAAAATGTGGTTAAGATCCAAGTATCATTTCAATACAATAGTCCAGGCTTACCGGGCTTCAACACTTAGTGGGAATACTTTACCTCAGTCAAATGCAGCGCTGTCAGATTTGGGGCCCGCTCAAGATGGATCTGCAGCAGCCTCAAACAGTACGGCCGACGGGTGCATCCGTTTATTCTTGATCTGGTTACCGTTGCTGAATTTACTACTACTTGCGAAGGGACGGCAACTCAGTCTGTGCTGTTGAGATCGAGTACTCACTGCTTTTTAGACCAGAAATACTACCTGTTGTCTCGTATCACCGGTTGTATCTCGAAAGTAGGCTAGTGCTGGGTTGGCCATACCTTAATAAGTTTTAGGAATCAGTGGCCAGTTATTGGGACTCATGTTCTGATCCACTAGTCAGATGTGATAACTACCACACTACCCCCCTATGTTAAACAAACCCACAACATCTTCAAGCTCGACCGAGATGAATCTTCTGATAAAAAATTGGAGCTGTCTACTGTTCTCATTTTAGCCTGCATCATTGAAAAGACCGCTCTAAACCGGTTCATTCAGTATACTTAATCCACCTTTGTGAAGAGGCTTTTGTCCGCAGCCTCATACAGGGCAGATGACTCACATGTTCAACCTATTCAGATAGCTTGTCCCAGAGAGTGACACGTGTTAGCATCCTTTCTATACACTCATACTGTCATCAAGGAGGCTAGGGTCTTGTGGTTAAAGTTTTTTCACTGTTTCAATACTGCATGATTTGGGCTCAGAACATGGACCAGACAGAAAACGGCAAAGGTGCCCATTACAAATCACAATTTGTAACGCTCATGTAGAATCCTATTGGCCTGGAAATTCATCTAGCATACGCCAAACTCAAAGCTATTAGTTCCAATTTCGTTGAGTACACAACACTCTTTAGGATGCAGTAACGAAGTCAAGACAAGAACGCCCCCTTAGACCGTAGACAGGCAGGACAAGACAAAAGTTCGAAGCAGAGTGTCGGGAGCCAAAAACTACGCAAATGGAAATGACACGCAATTTAGAGCATGGCGGGAAAAAGTATTGATTGGTCAGTGCGAGGTGAACTTAGAGTATGCTGATGATATCGCCCTGATCTGTGACAGCTCACAAACGTGCCAAGCGGCACTGGACAGATTAGCACTAGCTGTCCGTCACTTCGGGCTTTGCTTCGCACTCTTGAAGTGCAAAGCGTTTCTCCAAGATTGGTCTGGACCGCCTCCTACGCTGACCCTTGGTGGGGATCAGCTAGAAGTCGTTCTAAAATTCAACTACCTGGGAAGTTGTATCAGTGCCCGTGGGATTGAATATTAAATCACGAATCGTATAGCAAAAGCTCGGGGCGCTTTTGCTAACCTTCGCCACTTATGGCGCCGGCTCGACATCACTCTTGCCCTGAAGGGTAGAGTGTACAATGCAGCTGTACGTTCGACCTTACTGTACGGTTGCAAAACCTGGCCCCTTAAAGCAACGGACCTGAAGAGGCTAGTTACGTTCGACCACCGGTGCCTTCGCAATTTAGCTCACATCTGGTGGGAACACCGCGTGAATAACGAGCGTGTTCGACGCCTTGTTTACGGCACAAGAAAAGGAAATGAACCGCTCAGCACCGTTATTTTCCGCACCAGGCTCCGATGGCTTGGCCACGTGTTACGCATGCCAGCCCACCGACTTCCGCGACGTGTGTTGTTTGCGGGCCGGGGACGTGGATGGAAGAAGAGGAGGGGTGGCCAAGCGATGACTTGGTCGAGAGGAATGAAGGCCCTCACTTCTGAGCTGGCCTCGGTTGGAGCGTCTCGGCTCCCTGGTTGGGGTCCGAAAGACGATGAACACGTTTGTTTGGACACAGTTGCTGATATGGCTCGGAGCCGACCTTAGTGGCGTTCGTGCTGTGAGTTTCTTTGTCCCACCCCATCCCTCTTAGCCTCCCCCTCCAACCACGATCTCATTATTTAGCCTTATATAATTTTGCGTAATAATTTTTCTTGGGTGCACAGCAGCCGGCTGGTAGCTTACCGGAACGATGCCCATCCGTTACCGGTAGCTCAGCCAGCTTGCACCAGTTGCATTTTTTCTCCTTTTTTCTATGTATTGCGGCACAGTAGCTGAGGTGTTCCCCACCTCTAGCTAACGTGTATGATGATGATGATGATGAACCAATAAGAACCCGGTGTGGGTGAGCTAAACTATAGCATTTACCGCTGTTGCATAACAAATCCAAAATTTTGCAAAGAAAGCGCAAAATTGTGCCAAGAAGGTGCAAATTTTTTCAAAGAAAGTGCGATTCTCCAGCCGCTCTGAGCTAATCCTCTGACCTCAAGTGTGTTCTCATTGACCGGGTGCAAGCGTTTGTTGCGTAAGTCAAGTGAAGTGAGCGCGCTGCCCACTGACTCGGTGAGACTTGTGAATGAACCTCGAGTCCATGGATATAGGCGGTGCCACGAGCTACTACGCGTCCCCCTCACGTCCGAAACGCTGGATCACAATTGGTCTGCGCGCAATGAACGGCCGGAAGATAAGCCTACGACTGAATGAATGTCTTTCATTCCAGTGTGGTCAACATGCCTTCTCGTGTTCGACAGTATCTCGTCAGACATTCGTGACCGGGTTGTGGATGCCGTCAACAGTGACGACTCGTGGCATTCTGGTACACGTCCTTAAGGAGGGTATAGTAAGTGCGTGAAGGCTGGACGATCGGATCGGGTAGCATGCGATGAGATGGATGATCGTTTGGGACAATTAGGTCAGCGTGGCAGTTCGCTCACAATGGAACAGCGAAGGCTATCCTATGGAAGACAGTTATCGCAGGATAGGGAGTGACGGCCGGGGAATCACTGAATGTGTAACATGATGATGCATCCTAAAAACCGCTCTGAATTGGAGCAAATCAATTAAGCGTCCAATCCGCCGTATATTCGCCTTAATCATAACTATGCTTGTCGGTTCAGCGATGTTGAGGCAGATATAAAATAGGTGGCATTCTTCGCCGAAAGATTACAGTATTTTGTGAAAGGGTTAAGGAAAGTAAAATTACAATGGACATTTAAAGCTTTTGAGCTGCATACGTAAATAGAACCGCGGTGAATCCGCACCGCAAATTCGTATCTTGTTGCGAACCTTGCTTACCCCAGGCTATCATCATTGCCATCGGTGAGCGCTCCTTCTCAACACCGAAGCTTGTACAGAACTACCTTCAGTCACCTAGGAACCCGAAAACGCTCACGGACTTGGCCATTGTCTCCATAAAGAAGGGACCTAGTCGATGGACCGAATTTGCATTGGGGTTATTGCTAGTTTTCGCGCCAGCTTAGTTTGCACATTTTGTGCACGAGCACCGTAACAAGTAACAAATGCCAATATTTACAACAGAACTCTAAAATGTTACGTTTATTTTTCTTGTTCTATGAAACGCCCTATTGAACGGCTGTTCGCAGATGTGGTAGTTTACGCAATTAACTACTGGCAAGGGTGCGAAAAACGAACGACTGCCCCGGGCGGCATAACCAGTGCCTACGCAACTGCTGTTAATCTATCGGTGATCTTGCCGGAAATATTTCCCTTGAGATCGTGGTAAACATAAGTTGTGCATCCCCTACGTGCTGACAGTACGCATTGATCGTCATGCCGCGCGGTAAACCGGAGTCCATTCACCCGCGCTGGTTTTACGTGCCAGGCACGATCAACGACCACAACCTCGACCCATGGCGGTCAAGCCTGCTATGTCCTTAACAAAATCGTTAACCACTGGCTCACCAAAAGCCAACAGAGATACGCGAGAAATCAGAATTGCAAGCCATGCATCCGTATTTAGGTGTGAATCCATTTCCCAAGGTCTCGCGCGGTTGCACTAATACGCGACAGCGAAACCGGTTATGCGACGCGACCACGCGCACTAATTGCCCTGGGCGCCACAGTGTTCCCCCGAATGCAGAACTGGCTATTTCTAGCAGCGTATAAAGTGCACTCTGACCCGACATCACAATAACCTAAGCATACTCTCGTCCACTTACCGGTGGCTTACTGTCCGCGCAATGAACTGCATATCAATTATTGTTGGTGCATCAATCCCATGTGGATTTATTGGTGCCTTTCTATAACTCTCAATATTTCGGTAAATCACTTTGCAGACGTCCTAGTTTTCGGAATTCTGAAACTCCATCTGCATTGTCTAAGGTTTTACGTGAACGAGCAAGGCGCGATGCATACCAGTACGAAGTAGAAAATACCCTACAAATATCACTTGCAAATGTCTCATTGGAAGCGAGTCCCATGTCATTGTCTAACGCTGGACATCAGATGTTGCTGCAAATCCCGTAAGAATGTATAACCGTGCGTACGTGCATACATATTTCACCAAGAGTTTGAATTCCCTCGTGTCCCTATTCGCTCCTAGTGGTATACACCATACAATCAGATGTCTAAAGTGATGAGCCGGATAGGTAATCGAGGCATGGCATTTTTTCAAACAACCAGGAAAATGTACACGGATGTGTCTAGTCGCAGTACGACATCCCACAACACTGATCTCACTGGTTGCTGTTCTGGCATTGCGTTCCAGAAACTGCAACCTCCATTCCATTTGCGTCATTAGGTTCTGGGGATCCCCGGCCAGAAGTTCATTGTACTGCATTCATATTTCATTTTTCACTCGGACCTTCACCACCTGCCAAACATTTTCGATGGGAGTGAGGAACGGGGAGTATGGGCTCAATCTCAGAATGGTAACCGCTTCGCATCCTTCGACTGACGCAAGTGTTTCCAAACCTGAGTGACATGGTGCATTGTCACACACTACGACCATCTGCCGGAGCTTCACTTCCCGCTTCAGCTTGTCTAAAATGCATCGCAGCCATTCGAGAGATGGGGGGGGGCAGTGAATGAGCTTCCGCGGGTAGTCATCGAAACGTTTCCATCCATTTTGTGTGCACCGATGAGGTGCAAATTCAGGCCTCGACTGTTGGCGACTTTGACAAAGGCCCTCACTCCTCTGGGCACCCGACCACGAGTACGTTTGCAGTAAACGTTGAATTTTGATTTATCGATCCATATGAAGAACTTCCCCTCCCTTTCAAGTTCGAGGAACTTTTGAACAAACTCCTTTCGTATCTCTGGTTTGATCATTGTTTATTCTTTCTGGAGTCTTTTAGGTGTTCTTCATAGTTATCACACGGCATCCAGGTGTCGTGCGATTGTAGACTTTGAAATGTCCTTAACCATATTGGCACGTACTCGGACTCGCATTTCGTGTAGTGTTAGAGTTGCGTCCTTCGCGATCCAATCCAGGAAGTCATCAATCTCTTCCGCTGACAGAATGCGCCTGCGACGGCGCGCCTGCGTGGTATCCGGCTTCTGATCAAGTGAGCGACGAATCCAGGAGTAGGCAGTTTGCTATTTCACATTGTTCACGGTTGCCACGAGCTGCCAGTCGTCACCGTTGACGAATGCATCCACAACTCGGTCACGAATGTCTGACTTGATACTCTGTCGAACACTAGAAGTCATGTTGACCACACTGGAATGAAAGGCATCCATTCAGTCGTACGCTTATGTTCCAGCCGTTTATTGCTCGCATCCCAGAGCCAGCTTACGGTCAGCGTACCAGCCGAGAACCGTGGCGCAACATTGGATCAATTTACAATTAAAGATCGAACGAAAGCAGAGATGAAAACACGAATCAATGTGGGGTCAGCAGCAAGTTGAGCTCTGAACTTGAACCGTGTGAATTGTTTTTATTAGCATTAATTAGCATCTTCAATATCGATGTGTTAGTAAGTTGCCTTCAACCTATTTATTGCGCTATGCTCCGATACAATACGAATCCCTCAGTCCGGCAGATCTTGGCGTTCTCATTTTGTTGTGGGGTGAACCGGTTGGAGGCGGCACAACGGTTTCTGGCAAACTATTCAATAGTTCAATAGTGTATGGTGGGATAAAAAGCAATAACTTTACAAGACCCACAGGATGGCAAATGGAAGAAAACAAAAGTTTCAGGTGTGCCACAAAATATCAGTAAGTAGACACTGCAGTTTGTCATACCGTTATATAACGTGTATCATGTATCGTACAGCCAATGGAAACCACAACAGTGATCCAACGTTCCGGACGTGAGAGGGGCGCGTAGTAGCTTATGGCACCGCCTATATCCATGGTCTCGAGATTCATTCACAAGTCTCACCGAGTCACTTCACTTGACTTATGCAACAAACCCTTGCACCCGCTCAATGAGAACACACTTGAGGTCAGAGGATTAGCTCAGGGCGGCTGGAGAATCGCACTTTCTTTGAAAAAATTTGCACCTTTGCAAAATTTTGCGCTTCCATTCCACAATTTTGCGCTTGCTTTGCAAAATTTGAACTTCTGATGCAACTTTGCGGGAAGTGCTATAGTCAATATCATCGATATACCTAACAGCTCTCACGCTTTTGCCGACTGTGCCCGCAGCAAAATTTCCATCATGCCAACCTAAGGTCTGCAACGGAGTTCAGCTTGGTTCCCCGCGCTCTGGTGCCCTGTGTAAACATACAAGTTTCTGGGTCAGGTAACGCGATTGTTACCCGTACTTGGTAGAGTTCTACGCAGTCGTGTTTCGAACTTAACCTAGAATCCGTTCACACCACAACCAACCTTGAATCTGATTCATGTCTGGACCGCTTTGGATGGTATAGTGGCAGACGACAATCTGGCTCACTGATCGTCACCAATCCTGTGTGTGCATCTTCGCGTCTCACTTAACAGCACCCGTATAAACCGATTCACGTTCACCATACGTCCTCGTAAAATTGACTACAGGTAACCAGGCCATCGCAGCGGGCCAGACACAAGTGGTGCGGAGTCTCAGTACGTACAGCCGGTTTTTGGACTGTAGGCTACACCTCAGTCCGTTGAGAGAAGGCAGTTTGGATTGTTTAGGATCAGTAGAGTTTCGCAGACACATTGTCCACCCGTAGCCTGGAGGTAAAGAGCTTGTTTCGTAATCTTGCGGCGGGGGTTCTAACCAGCGTAGGGGTGGGCGTCCTCGCGGTATACTCAGCCCGCGTGCGACTGGTGGTGGTGGCACGGGAGCGAAGCGCCGTTACGGCATACGGCTGACACATTATTATTATTATTATTAACATGTTCGTACGAGGCAATTCTCAGTGCTGGGGGTTTCCGTGGAACCATGGATCAATAGTAGAAGCAGAGCTCCATGGGTTATGGAATTCAACTTATAGTGGCCGGAATAACTCGGTGGTATTGCGCGCGCTCTCTCTCTCTCAGCCAAATAACTTCTACGATCCATTCTGGCCATTGTCGAAGTAGACTGCAGTTCAGTATTGTTTAGACGCAATAGGTTTATCCACACAACATCGATCCTGTGCAACACAGATTTGTCACTTAACAGAGCCGCGGTAGTGGAAGCCAAAACGGTAAACCAAATGTAGTCGGTTACTTATATATGTCTTAAAATGGCGCGAAAATCGCTCGACTCCGTGCTGTTGTCCATATTATGCGAGGGAGAGGGAACCGCACTCGCCAACAGTGGTTCAGCTGTTCCACTAAAGTTTGTATCCAGCCTTTTCCGCTCTATGACGGAAGATTGTCTGTGCATTTGGAAACGATGAACCAAAGTCAACCGCGAGTCACTAACTACTGGTACCAATGCTGTCCATGTCTACGTGGCGTGCTGGCAATCGCATCCAACGATGACGTCTGCACTCCCTCTTCGTAAATAAATATATTTGCAGCAGTCTATAAATAGGCATTGAGCCTGTTGGACTTCAATTGCGGCACATTGACGAGCACGGTCCTGCTGTCATTGCTAATTTACAACAGTATCAAAAGAAAAGGGATTATAAATGGAATTTCTTCTTTTGAAGCAATCAGTTCCTCCCATAACCCCTCCCCCCACCGTAAAGTGCCAATACAGCTCCAGTGTCTCGTGCGCTGTACGTTGGCTCAACTTGATACACCCAGAATGTTAGTACGTAACGTTTAAGCGAACAATTAGAAGGCTTCCTGTAATGGTAAATGGTACACGCTGACCTCACAACTGGTGTTGGTTAGTGGAATCCGGCTGTGAATCATCCTCACCGGATGTGATGTAAACCAGCATGTTTACGGCCCAGAATCCGAAGAGTAAAGCTTTTATACTAATACCAACTTTGGACATGTTCTCAGATGCCAACCCCCAACAGACTTGTGCTGTACGCTGACCGTTATATTAAAGGAACCGCCCACCCCAAGACCTAATTATGTACCACTGCTTTTTTCCTTGATTCAAACTGTCATATGATGACCTGCCGTGCCAAATTGGGAGTTTGGTCAAAACACATTGATATCAGGTTAGGCACAACTCAACAACGGTCATGATGGTGTTCAGCCCGCACTAAGTTGGAACTATGACTGGCGTTCTGCAAGCCGTAACTGTCACGTTTTGTCGCTCCGCCCAAACATTCTTGCAGAGCCCTGTCAAGTGGGAGTTGTGGAAGGAAACAATCAAATCGGCCCCACCAATACCGAAGGATGCAACCTTTCACGAAATAATTGTCCCCACGGTTGAGACGGTTCGCTGCAACTGCCTGTTAGAATTGTTCCTATTACACTGCAAACCCGCCCTGTTTGTCGGACCGACTGGAACTGGAAAATCCTGTTACATCATGGTAAGCATTGTTTTCTGTGTATCGTCTAAAGAGGCATGAGTTCACTTAGCAGACCTGCCTTTTTATCTAGTGCAGCATCCTTTTCTCGCCGTTACTTGCTACACAACCCTTGTTTGATATCAGCTTGACCCTTTACTAAGGCCAAAAGACAAGCTTTAAATAGTTCGAAAAACCTCAGTCTTTTATGTGTACGGAACTTTCCTTTTGCAGAGCCGGTCAGTTCGTCGTTTTGGTCTCGTTCCGATTGTGTCCGATCAAGCCTCCTAAGAGCGACATTGCACTGATTGTCATGTTCATCGGCACAGAACTGGACTTTAGCAACTCCATAGTGCTCCCTATTTTACTGTACACCCCTTTGAAGTTGTTATCAGAGGCAGTAGGTCGCGAAAGCAATAGAGCTACCAATTTAAGCGGAAAGTATACTTTTGACGACACGTACCTTATCATAATCTTGCGAAGAAACGAAGCCGCGAAAACTGAGGCATGAAAGCCAAAGTAAAAACTCTCCCTTAAGGGAGCAGTGGTGAGTGGCCTACGAAGTGATATCACTTACTAGTCATCGTGGCTAAGGAAAGTAACATAGTCAATTGACAGAGACGATGCACGAATGCCAACAATCGTATACAGAAGTGCTTCTTCAGTAACGGCTCACACGCACCACAGAGTAAATGAAGTATTTTGCAAACACATTGAGTCCTGTAACCTGGGAAAATAAAGTTTACTACAATAAATAATGCGTTGCGTCAGAGGTGTTTCGACATGGGTATGCGACGTTTGTCTCGTTTGGAAATAAGCGTGCAGGGCTATTAATATGACGTCCATAACTTCTCTAACGGATCCGACGTTGCAATGAATTTGCCTGTATCGATATACTGGGTCTCATAGATGCACAACATCTGAGCAAGTTACATCAAACTAGAGCATTTAAGGTTTGCTACGTCGACCATTTTGCCGGTACTCTCCTGATGTTTTATTTGACAAAGGTTCTATCGCTTCCTCTCCACAGGACTTCCTACTGAACAAGTTACCAAGGGACATATACAAACCGAATAATTTGAACTTCTCTGCCCAGACTAGTGCGAACCAAACGCAAAACATTATTATGTCGAAATTGGATCGACGTCGTAAGGGTGTTTTTGGACCACCAATGGGCAAGAAATTGGTGGTTTTCGTGGATGACTTGAATATGCCAGTTCGAGAAGTATACGGCGCGCAACCGCCAATTGAATTGCTCCGTCAGTGGCTTGATCACGGAATCTGGTGCGTGCATCGAGATTTATACATTTCCTACCGAAGTACCTATAAGCTAAATGCTCATATTCACTTGTAATCTCTGTTCTAGGTACGACCTAAAGACCAATGATCCCATTAAGTTGGTGGATCTTCTTTTCATCGGCGCCATGGGTCCGCCCGGCGGTGGCCGAAATACAGTAACTCCACGTTTTCTGAGGCACCTAAATACGGTCACTCTGAACGAATTCGAAGATGATATGATGCGTACCATCTTTACAAGGATCATTGATTGGCACATGCAGGTCAAGTGAGTGCGCCTATGTCCAGACTTATAAAACGAAAATTTTCGATTTGAGGAGAATCTTGACGTGTAGAGTATTCTCGCCGCAGTGCGATGCGGGTCCATCTGACTTTCCTCTCTTAATTACACATGTACTCACATTACGAGGCTGCCAAGATGACGGCTGATCTGAGATAACAACTGGAGAAGAATGAGAGAGGAGTCGACACTAACAGTTCACTCGGCTTCACTTTGTCTGACAATGTTTACAGCCAGTACTATTCTGATTCACTGACTAAAAATCACAAATAACTAACATCGAACCAGGATCAGCTCGGAGGTCAGTTTCTTTAAGCAATAATGTTGAATGAACTGATGACTCCATTAATGTGTGCACGGCTGGCGCAGGTACACATCTGTAACACGCTTTGAAAAGGTTACTGAGTTGACATGTAAGATGGAGTGAAACGCGTGGCGTGGGGTGGCTAGGTTCAGTAGCCCTCATAGATTATCTACTCTGAAAATTAGCCAGTAACCGGCAGAAAATCTGTCTTCGCATATGACTGAGGCTCCCAGGGCCGGGGCAGTAAGATGCCCCCAACTCCAAAGCGTTGTCTAGGCTGAGAGTTGGTTCTCGTGGATAGGAGGTAGTTCCAATAAGTCCACCGATGTCACAAGGGACGAAGGTCGATTGAGAGAAACTCGTCGTTCAAAGCAATAAAGTTCGCGTGGGACTCAATGATAGACCTTTTTAACGATTGTTGATAGTTTGTTCATCTAGCCTGTGACATTCGCTACTTAGGCGGTGTAGGCACACTCCGAGCCTTGTTATTTGAGGACAGCCCCAATACTGCACGGGGCACTGCCGATGCACACTCCAGCACAATGGCGAACAAGCAACAGCACCTCATGTGGCTCATCATTCTGAGTAGAGGTCACAAGGTGACAGACGCCATGGTTAGTTCTAAGGTCTGAATACTTCATACTGAATACTGAGAAGAAAGAGCGCGAAGATAAAAACCTGGGTTTCTTCATCCTAGGTGGTTTGGGCACATGCGCGAAATCGCGTCACTGATTCCTGCGCGGTGGCAGCATATTACAGCTGCACTACATCCTATCGGGGTGCGATGCGCTCCTTATCCCTGTAGTCCGCAAAGTGGCCATCGAGGAATCTCTAAAATTCCGACACCGATTTCGCCTCGGCTAGTGTCTCCGGCAACTTATTCCAATATTTCATCACTCGATGCTCGAAGCATTGAGGGTAAGCGATGCGTTTTAAGTCCGACACCACTAGTTTGTACCGGTGTCCGCGTGTGCTGCTTGGTGCGCGAACGTGCAGCAGCGGCTTCAACATAGCGAAGTGGCCCAGATGCAATATGCAGTGCGTCATTATGAGAGCAAATCGGAGCCGACGATATGACAGGGTATACAGCCCTAATCTCCTATCTTGCTCCTCGTACATACCCCGTAAACTTGGGACGAGCAACAAGGACTGGGGCAGCGCAAAAGTGGACGTCGGGTAGACATTTTCGCACAGACATTTCCTTAAAACACAGCTTGTCAATAGATTCAAAGACTGTCATTATACGTTTACCAGTAACCAGTTTACCAGTATACATTATCATTGTGCTACTGAAGGCAATCTGGTCTGTGAGTGCTTGTGTCCACCTACTTAACGTATCGGTATTCATCTTCTGTCAAAATGCTTGCCTATCTGTATCCATTGCAAACTGAACAGAACTGCTTAGCGAATTCTTGAATCGAATTCCATATTGACCACCATGACACTGCCGGCGTTAGGATGGATACTTGCAACTGTGTGATAACCCATGAGTTGCACAACAGCGTTGTCTGGACCATATTTCCAATTTTCCACTCATAATTATGCAAAGTAGGGGCGACTTGTTGGGTGCTGTGAATAAACTATTGTATACTGATAAGTTCGAATTGGATTGTCATTTGATTGTTGTATGCAGCATAACGGTAGCTGCCCGACTAATTCCTTGTTGGTGCTCGATCGTCGAGCGGAAAGCGGATAATATATCCCCATGTTTCGGAAAAATGAAGCTGGCTTTCTTTTGTCGTGGTGGGCTTGACTCCGACCGGACGGACAACGGCGAGCATCTTATGCTACTGTGTACAGAGCACCAGCTGTTTCTCAGTAATACCGCTTTTAGTCATAGTGGGTGTCGAAGTGTCATTTCCGTCCTCTTATAGCTGGCAAGCAATGGACTCAAATAGAGCACATTGCCATAAGTTACAGGTGGCTTGGTTCCATGCTGGATTGCCGTTCGTACTGGAGGACTTGCGTCGATTCTGACCATGCCTTGGTACGTTGTGGTTTTTCCATGAACTTCATCGGTAGGCGCACCAAACATCTTCGATTGGCAACTGAAAAGTTGTCTCAGCCCTCGGTCAGGCAAGCCTACCACGATGCACTGCGTACCGAACTTTCGCTCTTTTGCCCTAATGACACTGAACTTCATTGGAATAGGATCTCGGCCGCTATACACGACGCAGGAGCATCTGCTTGTGGCACGATCAATCGTCACAGCATTATTCACTGGATATCCGAGGGGTCGGTGAACCTGTTGGAATCCAGAAGAAACCTCCCTACTGACTCTGGGCACAATGTTACCAGACGGACTATTAGGCAAGAACTAAAGCGGAACCTACTTGCTGTTCAGGAATCCTGGTGGACCAGTCGGGCCCAAGAAATGGAGCAGGCAGGTGCAGTAAGCAATTGTCGCAGGCTCTTCCAGCTAATGCGCATCACCGGTCCCAGAGAATCAGGCGTCAGGGAGACAAACAGAAACAGCGTGGGTGTCATGATTCACAAGAAAGAACGGCGTATGGCCCGTTGGACGGAGCACTTTCAAGATCAGTTCAGTTGGCTCCCTGCTTCCGGACCACTTCATACTCAGGTGAGGCAGGAGGAGCCATGGTCGGTCAGTTCAGAGGCTCGGTCGGAGGCTGAGGCCCGAAACGCAATCACAGCCCTCAATCGTTTTTGTGCCGCTGGCCCGCATTCTCACCCACCTGTACTGTTTAAGGATGGAGATGAAGTCCTCTGCAAGGCACTGACCTACTTGTTCGAACATGTTTGGAAAGGAAAAACCGTCCCGGATAATTGGAGTGATTCGATTTTAATGATAATATCCAAGAAGCGCAGTCGCACGGACTATGCTAACCACAGGGGTAGTAGCCTAACGACGGTTCTGCCAAGATTACTGGTTAACTTTGACCTGAGCTCCTTCATGCTCCTGCCCAAGCCATATGTTGGCCACCTTGATTTCGTCTCCAGCCGACTTCTGCGTGCGCGAAGAGGGCACGGCGAGGTAAGCGATGAGTAGACATGCAGAGAACGTGCCCAAGCCATTGAAGTTTGGGCAGAGAAATGTTGCTGTTCAGTGGCCGGCAAAGTCGGTCAGATTTGAAAATTCTTCGTCGAATATCTTCATTCCGAGTGTGATGTTGCCATCGTACACAAACAATGCTCCGAAGGCAGTGATGATCAATAACAAACAGCCTCTCAACATCCTTTGCGCGAACAGGCCAAGTCTCGTAGCCATAGAGCAGAACCGCTCTCACTGTGGCATTGTAAACTCGGCCCTTCAGAGATAGACTCAGATCATCTCGACGCCAGAGATGGCGGAGATTGACAAAAGCAACATGAGTCTTGGAGACGCGCAAAGTGACCTCATCAGTTAAACCATTAGCGCTGAGGCAGCTTCCCATGTAAACGAACTTGTCCAGCACTTCCAATGAATGACCTAGAAGGGTGAGGTCAGGAGCAGCGCCTAGCCAGTCCTGCAGGAAAACCCTGCATTGCGATGGTGCAAAGGTCATTCCAAACGGGGAATCAGACATCTCCAACACACACAGGACATTTAGAGCGGCCTGTGAGGAAGCGCAGTTTACAGCGATGTCGTCTGCATACTCCAAATCCCGAAGTCGGTCCCTCGGAAGCAGCTTGACGCAGCTAAGTTCCCAGTTCTCCAGAGCACTCTCCAAGATTTCGTATATAGCGAAATTGAACAAGAAAGGTATGCTGGACAACCCTTTTTTACGCCACTGGTGATACCAAAGGGGGTCGAGGGTCCGCCATACACCCGCACTCGGTTCGAGAGCAGATGGCTTGAAGTAAGATGACATACTCCTCAGGCACCCCTTCTCAGTAGACAACTCCAGAGTGCAGCTCTGTCGACTGAGTCAAACGCGGCTCGTATGTCTAAGAAGACAACGATCGTTGGCTGGCCAAATGTTTGACGACGCCCGAGTATTTGGCGGAGTGTAAAGATGTGATCGATGCAACTCCGACCTGACCGGAACCCAGCTTGCTCTTCAAGTATGCTCTGTTCGCGTACTAGGCTGAGCCTCCTTAGAAGTAGAGCTGCGAGCAACTTGGAAGCAGCACAGATGAGACTAATCCCTCTGTCGTTGACGCAGTCAGTTCGGGTACCCTTTTTGAAGACGGGCACTAGATCCGCCAGACTCCAATCAGATGGGATAACTTCAGTGACCCAGATCTCTCGGAGGAGGGAAGTTAACTCCTGAACAAGTGATGGGCCGCCACCTTTGAAAAGAGCCGGAGGTAGTTCATCTGGGCCAGGGGCTTTGTAGCGTTTTAAGTGGCGAAGCTCCTGGGCAACCTCAGCCTCGGATGGCGGTGAAGCGTCTACACATCAGAGAGGGCTCTGAGCTCCAGAATGGAAACTCATTGGTGCTGCTGCCCAATTAAAATGCTGCTCAAAGTGCTCGGCCCAACACTCGAGTCGACGTCTTTTACAGTGAATTGACTTGCCATTGCTTTCGCATAAAACCGCTTGCAGTCGACCTTTTGCCGCTAGTAGAGCTAATCAGGAGGAAAAGCTTACGGCAATTCCTGGAGGTGGCCGCTTGCTCCATCTCAATGAGCCGCTGCGTTCACCAGGCCTTGCGATCTTTCCGGAGAAGCTATTTGAGCTCAGCGTTAGTAGCCTTGCGTAGTGAGTGGTATTTTACGCTAGTAGGGATTGCTCAACAGGCTTTGAGAAGTTGGAGTGATCGTGCAGAGATCCAGTGGTTGACAGCACTACTGGTGAAGCCATAGACGAGGGTTGCAAAGTTGTACATGGCGCTGCGGAGGTGTGTCCAGTGCGTTTCAATGTCCGTGCATGGAGCAGTGTTCAGCCGTGAGGCCAAGGCATCCTGAAATGCTTGGAGAACTTTTGGGGCAAAATGTTTAGCAACGTCAAGCAGTTTTTATGGCGACGCAACTGGAAGCCACCAAAACGTAGCGCAACCTTGGCCCACACCAACGCGTGATCCGAGGTGAGATAGGTATTCCAGATTGCTTTGCAATCCTGTATGCTACCCCGCCAGCGATAGCTAATGGCGATGTGGTCAAATTGTGTCCATGGATGGCCAGGTGATGGATGCTCCAGGTGGCGCGTCGGCGCCAGGATCCCCGAAAGCTGAAGTAGTCGATCACCGTTGTCAGTTCTGCGAGTGACATGGCCGTGTTGACCACCGAGTTTACGTGCGTCAACTGCAAGTCCGTCGACCTGCAGCTTCAAGTCCCCCGGCGATCACCACGTCAGTACTGCGCTTTTTACGGAGATGGTCGGCCAGTTGAGCATAGAACTCATCTTTAACTGTCACCGAGCTGCAATCTGTGGAAGCGTCCGCTGTGACAATGAATAGACAGCGTCTGTTGGCTTCGCGCATGGACAATTGCACTGAAGCTTCAAGTCGGACCGCGCATAGTCGACTGTTAACAGGGATCCAGTCTAGTAGCGCGGCTTTAGCACGTGTGCTCAACGCAGTCCCCACGCCAGCATAATCAGCGGCTTCGGTGGTTGAGTCTCCAGATAGGCGCAAAGTGAAAATGCCGGTGGAATTCGCAGACGGTGGAACTAGTCGCAACATCGTGCTAGAGTCCTGTAAACGGGTCTCGCTGAGACAACAGACGACAATGGCCTTAGTTTCTAGAGTGCGACCAAGGGCTGCCTGTGATTCAGTCTGCATCAGCGTCCGAACATTGAAGGTTGCCAGCTTGAGTTGGGAACGGAGCTCTAGAAATGGCTTGTCAACACGACTTGGCGCATCTTCGGACCTAGGCTCCTGATCCGCATATCGATAAAGTTCGCCCAAGACGGTACGATGTTGTGAACTTGAAAACGGAGGGGGAAGACCAAGAATGGGGGTTGAACAAACGTGGAATAAAGTGACTAAACGGTGGTGCGGTAAAAGGTAGTTTGGCAGGTTCAGCCGCCAGTACCTCGGCCGAGGAGAGCAGTTTGAGTGAGAGCAGATAGAACGATAGCGGAGAGAGCGAGCGAAGAATTGTTAAGACATGAATCCATAGGTTGTGTGGGCACAGTACTTCCCGGTTGTCCAGGCCGAGGAAGAGGGTTGACTTGGGGGACGCCACCTGGAAAGTTGGCTCATAAAGACCTAACCCGCAAGGCAGCGAGGCCATTGACGTATACCACGACCGTTGGGAGCCGGTTCTCTAAGTGAACGGCTTCGAGTAGAGGCAAACTACTCAGGGCACACAAAGAGCCCCAGTGAAGCAGCAAGGACTACCGAGCTCGCCGAGAAGTACGAATGCCGTTGGCAGCCGGGTGGCTCATACGCCTTCATAGAAGCCGGTGGCCATCGAGGTTGTACCTCCGCCCTCCGTTAAGTACTCACTTCTGTGACTAGAAGTGAGTGGTCAGTGACCCTATAGCTGGTCACATTGGCTTTGAAACAGCGTTTTGCAAGCTCTTGTGGTATTTAATGAGGAACCAGGTGACCAGCCCAGTATCTCCCGCGCTCTAGGACGCTGCCGCTGATTGTCCGCGGCTGCTTATTCATCTCGTCTGCGAACAGCCGAGATTCATTCAGTTACCTTCACAAGGAAGGCGTTCCATGATCCGCAACCTGGGGACGCGCCCGGTGGCGTACAACTCCGCCGAACCAACCAGTAGTCAGTTCACTTCCATATACACATTTGAGCAGTAAACCTGACGTTAATCCAAGTGACACACAGAAGCTAGCTTCCGAAATACTCAGTGAACTAACAGGATGCATGAGGAAGTAATGTCAGGTCTTGAGAATCGCGTTGCCCAGATGCACTCTACAGTACATACAGATAGCTGCTGCGATAGATGAGGCACACAGATCCACAATTAACCGGAAGGAAGCATCGGGCCCAGTTCTTCGGTCACATCTGTCGGACTGGCGGATGCCACTCCTCCGATCGTACTCCATACGAAGATAAAAAATTAGCTAAACGCGCTGATAAATTTCTTTTGGCACGTTGCGCTGAGAAACTAACCCACTAAGACATTTGTGACACATGACTTTTGTGAATGAAGTTGCTTTATCCTTTTGGTATTGACGATAAACCAAACAGTAGGGGTTGATGCTTTCTTGGGATCTACTGAGAGTTGGTGGAGTGGAGAAGCATGTTGAAGTCTACGTTGTATGAACGGATTGCAACTTGCAATCTCAATCTGGACCGCGATTAACTGTGAAGTGGCTTACGGTTAATTCGGTACTGGGACCGGATCTGAAGCATGCGAATGCTGCGTGGTACCCACTCGCGACATTGAACTCCACCACAGATTTCATATTCGCTTTCACTCATCAGGTAGAGAAAGCAAGATTACGACTCGAACCCGAGATGATAGCATGTAGCCGGAGACTCCGTCCATAATCCACCGAGTCGCGGCTGGCAAGGTTTGCCACAGCGAATACAAACTCATTGTGTGGATGGATTGCGACATGTAACCTCGTAGTGCTGACGAGTGCGAGTAAGCACAAATCGGTCGTGGAGTGCAGCGTTGCCAGCGAACGTTCAGAGCTGCAAGAGACGTTAGGGTCGCTCGAGTTCACTAGCCCCTTACATCATTTTCGTATAGACTGGCGTAGTATGTGCCATCAGTTGTGTGGCCCATGAAACTTCAGCTACATTGTGCTCACTGCAATGTGTTCGTTTGCAACTCTCATCTATCCTTCCATACTTTCAGAGGCTTCCACCCAGACTATAAGAAGATACCAGGACAGCTCGTTTCTGCCACGTTAGCGGTGTACAAAGCAGCAACACAGAACTTGCTTCCAACTCCTACCAAATCGCATTATTTGTTCAATCTGCGTGATTTCAGTCGAGTAATACAGGGTGTGTTACTCTCGACTCCGGAGACAGTGGATCCGTACTCCATCAAACGCCTATGGGTGCATGAGGTGTTCCGCGTATATTACGATCGACTTGTGGACGATGCAGATAGGAAGTGGCTGTTTGAATTTATTAAACAATGTGTGCGGGAACACATGGATTCCAATTTTGAGTCGTTATTCGGTCACTTGATTGGAAAGGACGATGAAGTAAGTTCAATCAGTTGTTGACGTTTGATTAAGGCTACAGGAGCGGTCTACCTGATGTAGTCAGTTAGAACCAATCGGCTAAGGTTGCATGCTATGCTTCAAGCTACCCAATATTTTCCGTCATAGGGAGGCCTATTTTCTGATCTTGATGTATACATATGGTGAATGGTTTGCGTTTATGGCGGGAATGATATGAGCCCACAAGTCATGTTGTCCATTAGCACAGCTGTGAAACTGCACCACAACCCTGAGAAACTCGGGAACCTTTGATTCTGGTGAACGAGCTTTGAAAATTGTAGTTTGGTCCAATAGGGTAGATTGACCCTCAAAAAGACACGAGGCGAGCTTGTTTTGCTCCCATGTCTTGTACACAGTGAATCCTATGCCTAACCGCTCACGTTCCTCTTCGAACTGATTCGTGTTATATCAGACGAGATAGGCTCCGCAAGATGGTGAAATTACAGACTGTGTTACCCGCGACTTTTGCAGCGTCGTCCGGAAATGTCATAAACAGGAACTGTTATTAGATGGAAACTTTTATAAGATCCATGCTTCCATCTGAGCGACAGGTAATGGTGCTTCTATCCATAATTCCAAATATAGTTACCACATAGCGTGTCCCTACAGTGCAGTAACGTGAATTTGAGGCAACCTCTGGTTTAAATTGCACTCTGCCACCTCCCCTTCGTATTATAATCCAAAGCAAACCATAACTAAGCGAATCAATCAAATATAAACACGTGGTTAGAAGATGTGGGCAGAATATGACCGCCTTCTATCGCAGCATTGCTAATTGCTTCGATGATCTGCTGTATGTGGTGTTTCCGAAGGAGACCCTTACGCACGCCATAGAGGCACATGACATTCGAAGCTGAAGGGATTAGTTCCGAATCTCCGGCGGGTTTCTACTTGAAGAGGTTACCTCGAAAGAAATTTGTTTCATGTGCCGACTCATCCTATCGCGTAGGAAGCCTACACTTCAGTTCAATTTTTGTGAACTTTTAATCCAAAAGTCCGACAAGCCTTTAGCTTGTGCAGAGGTACACCTAGCCCAACAGCTTGATTGCAGTCCACATACGACTCCCACAAGTATACGAACACTTATCTCTGTGCCGATCGAAGCCGGCGATGAAAGTCGTCGTAGCGGTGAGGATGAGATAAACGCAGGTAGGAGCAAGGTAGTCGTCAACTAACCGGACTGTTCACCTCAACGACATCGAGTTTGGGAATGCAGCCCAATTTCGCGGTCTACATACTCCACTAATTTAGCATCTATCAAGATGAAGTAATGTGAACATTTGTAAAACCAGCTATAAAGTGCCTCACGGCTGTCTTACCGGATTTGTCTTGCCCACCGCAACAAGAGCACAGTCATAGCTAGTCTTAATTGGCCTAATATTTGTACCCGCTCCATTTCTGTTATTTTATTCCGCAGGCAACGGAAGATCATTTACGTTCGCTAATGTTCTGCGATTTCTCCGACCCCAAAGGAGGTCGGAATTACGTAGAGGTGCGGGATGTGGAGAAGCTCCGAAAGGTGGCAGAAAATTATCTAGATGAGTACAACCAGATAAGCAAAAAACCCATGAATCTGGTCCTCTTTCGATTTGCTATAGAACACGTGTGTCGTATCTCTCGCATTCTCAAACAACCACGGTCTCATGCACTACTTGTTGGAGTGGGCGGTTCTGGACGCCAGTCGCTGACCAGACTTGCGGCCTACATGAGTGATTTTGATTTGTTTCAAGTAAGTCAGCTCAAGTTCATCTCGTCACGACAATTTCAATCGGGAAAGAAACTAGCATAATCAAAATATATACGATGTTGTCGTTTTTTCAGGTTGAGATCTCCAAAAGCTACGGCATGAATGAATGGAGAGAGGACCTGAAGAGGATACTGCGTAAGGCTAGTGACACCGATAACCATGCGGTCTTCCTTTTCAATGATACACAAATAAAGAACGAGAGTTTCCTTGAGGATATTAACAATTTGCTCAATGCCGGTGAAGTGCCTAATCTGTTTCCAGCGGACGAAAAGATGGAAGTGTGTGAGAGGATGCGGCAACTGGACCGAGCCCGAGAACGCAGCAAACAGACGGATGGCTCGCCGGTGGCATTGTTCAACTACTTCATTCAGCGTGTTCGCGAACAACTGCACATTGTGCTTGCACTCAGTCCCATTGGTGATTCGTTCCGGAACAGGTTGAGGAAATTTCCCTCCCTGGTCAACTGTTGCACGATCGATTGGTTCCAAGTGAGCTCTTCACTTTTGCATAGGTTCCAGCTTGTTTGCAAATGAGGCGGAAATAGTATTGGAAGAGGAGAGCGAGAGAAACCACAATACTCAACTTTTTCTTTAACTGTAAGTACACTAGCTGACACCGTTGAATACAGGAGGACAGACCTTCAACATTCATAGGTCGAAAGTGCTTTGTTGACACGAGCATATGGTGGCATCGGTGAAACAGTTTCTTCGCTACGTTCACTGTAGTCTCACCCCACAGATTATCCGCACCATACACACCGTAAACAGGAAGTCTAGCTAAACGACGGCACATGTAAGAATTCAAGCCGAGCACAGGGTGGGTGCCTATACCCTAGCTTGATAGGCGAGATAAGTCAGGATTGTACAAGTTGGCGGTCAGAAATTGAATCAACTAAGTTAATGCTTGCCCCTGGATTCCTACATAATTATAAATCTGGTTGCAAATTAGATGTGATAGAGGTATCTTATCAAGGTGAAAAATGGATCCAAGGAACTAGAAAGATAGTGGGAGGAATCCGGCAGATCGACCACGGGACGCAACGGGTGTGGTCTTCCATATATATGGCTCTGCCGATTGACCGAGGTTCATGTGTGCTATGATGGGCTTCCCGTAGCTCGTTCAACTGCGTCAACGGAGGAACCTCATCGACTCAAAAATCATTGTTTACGGATGGGTACGTACATTGTATATCGGTGCGTTCTATCGATCAAACGTGGTGTAATTTTTGCCGATTCGTACGAACTGTCTGTCCCCTAGGACTGACCGCGACACTGGGTTCATTTGGGTAGACGATGGAATGGTAATCGAATGACGTACCCGAATTGTTGCAACCTATTTAGTTTTATTTATCGACTTCACGTATTAGCCTGATTCTCATCTCAGCGTTGCCGACCATCTGGCATCATACAGGCATCGATGCTGGAAGGCCCGAAGTGGTACGAGATTCTCACATGGAGCTGATCAATTATAACCGCTGAAGAGAAGAACGACCCTCAGTGTCGTTTGGAGCGTAGTACCTTTGAGAAACGCAGATATTGCCTTCTGATACCATAATTGCCAAGGGAATATGAAAGTGGTCCTATTTTTTTTTACCATGAAGGAGTTGGTATCTGCAGGCACATATCTGTTGCCAAGCTAAGCGGATTAGTTAACTATCCTTAGTTGTTCGTTATCAAGATCCAAAGGACTGCAAGGAGGCTAGCGGTCATGCATCATGACGGTACAGAGCTCATGCCAGAGGTTGAAATATTCCAGAGTAGTTTCTGTAGGTTTACAATGATGCCTCCCGATCGGCAACTAACAGGACGACATCTTTCACATAATCCCTCCAACTAGACCCCAATATCCACATCGTGAGTATCCACAACAAGAAACTATATTATGGATTGTGGAATAGGAGAAGCCTGCTTATCTCCATTTATTCTCCTAAGTGTCCGGTTGTGCACTTTAGATTACAGCGCGAGCTGTTGGTCGAATGCAGGGTACGTAACTAGTTTACACATTTGAGGTGGACACCTTGCTGAGAATTTTGAAGGAGACGGAGCGGTGAAATTGGCTGAATGCTCTTGTAGACTTCGAGAACGCAGTTACAGTCAAAGTTGTCTAGGTCGACCACTTAAGGGACTGCCAAAAGTGGTCGCCAAGGTCAGGCTCATGCATAGGGACTTTACTCATAGGAGGAAACGTTGGGAATGCTTTTGGCTGGTTGCCATAGACAGGTGGTCACCACAGCAGGTTGGCCTGTATATTCAACGGTGAAGCAGCGAACTGGAGTGGAGGCAATTAACTTCGTCACCACCAGGGTCGAGCTGATTCCTTGTGGTCAACACATACAGTGCGAATGACCATGAATATTATTGCCATGGTCTATTAACATTACCTAGCTGGGAGAGATAGCTCCGTTGCATATCGCGGACACAAAAAACGAACAGGTAGAAAAAACACTTTCTGAAGATGCGATAAGCACTTGGGCCTCTAACGAAGCATTCAAGCTAACTAACAATGATGCAGCCGGTACCAGCTGTGCGTAAGGCGGCTCAGACGAAGAGGACCAGCTGAACTGCTCCGGAAGATGATGCTTCCCAGAAGTCGAACGCTACCAATTAGAGTAACGGATGGTGCCGGTACGGTTTATGATAGGTTAGCCGAATACTGACTTCATGTGAGTAATTGTGTGGACTAGTTTGAAGAGTTTGCATTAGATACCTGCAGCGCATGCCTCCTGCTTTCCATCACCTTTTAGAATCTACGAGATTTCTTACTTAGCCTACAGTTCCCACCTTAGCTCCCACTTGAGAAATTGTGTGCTCGTACTGCGCCTGGTGTCAGGAGAGACTTATTTTGAGGCAAAGACATACAGGGATGCCAGCAGATGCCTTGGCTCATACATGGAGTGAGAAGTCCGATTTTGCTGGGACTTGATGTTCCCTGAAAACAAGATGCTTTTGTGCCAAAAAGCGAAACATCGTGCGCCTAACAAAAACATTAACCGGTCGTTCACTAAGCCTTATAAAACAGTGGTGATTCATCATCATCATCAACAGCAGTACATCAGCCATTTGAACTGATGCTTCGCTGCCATACAACCATGAGGACCTATGAAATAAAGAATAAGAAGAGGGAGAGAAGGGGGACTTACCTGAAAACCTTAATGCCCTAAGCAAACATTCAGGGTCAAGGCGCCTACACCTTGTGTGGACAACATACCGTCACAAACAGCTGGCTATCGTGCAAAGATAAAGTGGCATCGGCGAGACAACTTCCTTGCGGCTTTCACTGCCACGCGTCATAATCAGCCATTACCCCGCAGATAACTCAGCACCAAACACACTTTAAACAGACAATCCGATTAGGAGACGGCAGCAGAGGCGCCACTGGTGTCGGTTGCGAGCCATGTCCTGTAAAGTCTCGAGCCAAGCACAAGGTGAGTCACGTGGACTCCAGCCCGGAAGGCGAGACGGACCAACGGCACCCAGTTTGGTCGTCAGTGACTTCATTTCCCGCTGCCATGTCAACTTCTGTCCACCTCGAGCCTTGCGCCACTCTATACCTGGCAGACTGAACAAGGCCCTCCTAGGTAAGCGGTGACCAGGCATACGTAGCAAGTGTCCGAGCCAACGCAACTTATTCAGTGCTATCTGTTGTTCTAGGAATCATTACCTAGTACTCGCCTACGCACATTATCGTTGCGGACACGCTGGTGCCATTCGACTCCAGCAATGCTTCGCAGACAACGATGATCAAAGACTTGAAGGCGCCTCAGATCTTCAGACCGAAGGGGCCAAGTCTCACTACCATAGAGCAGAACGGCCCTCACTGTGGCCTTGTATACCCGGCCTTTCAGACGGAGTGAAACTCCATTCTGTCGCCAAAGATGCCACAGGTTCAAGAAGGTAGCTCCGGCTTTTGCAATGCGTGAGCTGACGTCAGTTTCTATGCGCCCATCATTGCTGATGCAGCTGCCAAGATAAGCGAAATGATCAACCACCTCGAGTTCCTCGTTAGCAAGCGTCAAGGGGTCATCAAGTGGCTGGTGGTCCTGCAGCAGCACTTTGCACTTTGAAGGTGCGAAGTGCATACCAAATAATGGGACCACTCTGGACAGGCTATTCAGGGTTGATTGGGCCGTCCCAACATCGTCGAAAAGCAAGACGATATCGTCCACATAATCTAGATCAACTAACCTTTCACCAGGCAGTACTTCAACGCCTACATCGCGAGATTCCGTAAGGGAACACTCCATGATAGAATCCACGACGAAATTGAACAAAAAGGGGAAATCGGACAACCCTGACGAACGCCACTTGTGATCGGAAAGCTATCCGACAGGTCACCGTAGACCCTGATGCGGCCTGTAGTGTTCGAGTATAGAGCACGAAGGATGTTCACATATTTCGTGGGAACACCTTTCTGCGCAAGTATTTCGAACAGAATCGATCGATCGACTGAATCGAACGCACTCTTGAAATCGAGGAACACAGCTATTGTCGGTCTGCGGTATGCGTGGCGCTGCTCTAACGCCTGCCGCAAAGTGAATATATGGTCTATACAGCCACCTGCTGGGCGGAAACCAGCCTGCTCTTTCCTAATCCGAGACTCCCGTTCCGCAGTGAGGGGACGAACAATAATCGAGGCCAATAATTTTGTCACAACTGGCGTTAGGCTAATACCCCTGTGGTTAGAACAGTCTGTGCGACTGCCCTTCTTGTATATTGCCACTATAATCGATTCGCTCCAATTAGCCGGGACACTTTCTTCCTTCCAGATACGTTCAAATAAGGAGGTCAATGCTTTGCAGAGGACCTCACCTCCATCCTTAAATAGTGCAGGTGGGAGCGAATCCGGGCCAGCGGCACGAAAAGGATTAAGGGCTGTGATCGCGTTTTGGACCTCGGCCTCCGACGGAGGCTCTAAACTAACCGTCCATGGCACGTCCCGCATCACCTGAGTAGGAAGAGATCCGGGAGCAGGGGGCCAGCTGAACTGATCTTGAAAGTGTTCCTTCCAACGAGCCATACGGCGCTCCTTATTGTGTATCAGCGCACTCGCTTTGTCTCTGATTGTTTCACTGACGCCTGGTTTCCTGAGACCAGTCGTTCGGATTAGCTGGAAGCGATTGCGGCAATTGCCTACTGCTCCTGCCTCCTCTATTTCGTGAGCCCGACTGATCCACCAGGCTTCCTTGTCAGCACGTAAACTCCGCTTTAGTTCGCGCCTAATAGCCCGTCTAGTCACATTGCGTTCAGAGCCAACCAGGAGGTGTCTTCTAGATTCCAACAGGTTCACCGACCTCTCGGATATCCAGTGACTGGTGCGGTGACTATGGATAGTGCCACAAGCAGGTGCTCCTGCGTCGTGCATGGCGGCCGAGATCCTATTCCATTGAAGCTCAGTCTCATTAGAACAAGACAGCGAAAGTTCGGTATGCAATGCTTCTTGATAGGCTTGCCTGACCGAGGACTGAGACAATTTCTCCGTTTCCAATCGT